AAATAATTACTCAGGCTTACCATTCGAGATGCACTTAAAACTGTCAAGTAAGGCCAGAATCGCTTCAGACTTTTCAACCCTCTTACGCATCAAACAAGGTGAAAAACGAAAACGATGCAATCCGAAATCGGATTTCCGACTTTGACAAGCGACGTATTTCTCAACCAAAAACCCACTAAACAAACTAGCCATGAATAACAGAAGACTCTTGATAGCAGCTGAATTTCATTTTGTACATTCAGTGGAGAAAGACAGTTAAAAACATCACAAGTTGACACAAAACTCTGTCAGCTTCAGCTGTCAAAGTAAACAAGTTTCAAGATGCGGCATAAATTTTCCGCATGAACTCACCTGTTTAGTTTTGACTAATCAGAGCATAAAAATTGGACGTAGAGCGTGAGCAACGCGTGACCTTGGTGAGAGTTTAAAGCCACCTTCGCCGTGTTTGCTATTTTGCAAGATGAACTCCAGGCAAGAATATCGCTCAAAGCTTTCTTTTTACAAACAATAGGATAACTTAACTATTTCTCAGAACTTTTTCTTCTAGTCGCGGTAAGAAAAAGTCGAAAGATTTTTTAAGTTCTTTACTAGGTCTTTGATTTAAATAAACTGACGTCATCTTCACCGTAAACACTTCCAAAGAGGTTTAAAACATGCAAAATATTTTCCGCAAAGAAACCCGAAGGAAAGGTAAGTGATAGACTTGACTATCACAACTAAATAGCTATATAGTGCAGAGGAAATTCCACAACATTCCCAAATTGCCGTAACAAATTACGGGAGCGGGCATTGCCCTCAGCGGTTAGCATCAGTCGTTTTAGTCCATGGGGTCTTCGTTTTAGTCTAAGGGGTCCTCGTTTTAGTCCATGGGGTCTTCGTTTTAGTCCATAGGGTCTTCGTTTTAGTCACACCCCACCTCCAAATCTCTTAGACTTAGTAAACAAATACATACATGCATACATACATACTTTACTGAGATTCCCTTCAACGTGCTTTTCAGTCACAATGTTAACTATTACATAATACTAGTGATGAAGAAAAAAAACTTATTTACAGTAGTTTAATTAAATTCAAAATACATTCAAAATTATTCAAACTATATTCAACGTGTTCAGAATTATTTCGTATGAAAAATATTATTATGTCCGCATAAAACTATCAACATCTTTAATATTCTTAGTATTGTCAGCTAGCCCATTCCATTCCCTTGGACGCCGAAAATAAAATGCCCTTTGTCCCACTGACAGTCTATATCGGGGGTCCACGAAATTGTTACATCCGCTTGTGTTCGTGTTGTGAACTGCTAAACGTTTAATAAAATATTTACCGAAATAATCTGGAGCTAAGCCATTTGCACATTTGAATACTAATCGCTAAGTTATTAAATAGAACCTTCTCCGTAACATCTAACCATTTAAGAGATTTCCGTCCCTGGGAGATGTGGTCAAACTTCTTTAAACCTAATACAACTCTGGCAGCAAATTTTTTATACCAACTACAGTTTTTGTAGATTGCGTTTAGATGTGTTTCCCCACTGAGGAACAATAAAAAAGTTTACTGGAAACAAAGCTATTTATAAGGGTAAAAGGGTTTTCTTATCCAAAAGATGTCAGTGATATTTTAAGCGGGGCGTATAAAACAATCCACAAACCAACTCACGCGCATATGGAGAAAGCTCTGCTCGCAGGGTAGACTCCATAGCGAAAGTCTTATATAACATTCACTTTGATTCTTAATTTTGCTTATGTTTAAAATAAATACATGTACTTCTGTAGCCAATAAAAATGAATAAAGACAGAAAAATAGAACTGGCACTTAGTAGTAATCATTGTATGCATTTTGCGCGAAAACATGTTGCCGAATTAAAGGTTAAAATTAACCTAAAAATCGGATGTAATGCAGCTTGAGAACATTTCAGTAGAGAAATATTTGACATCTTGCGTAAAATTTCAAACAAAATGTATTTTGCAACTTTTTTGAGGAGCACAAAATAAACGTTAAAATAGATAAGGGAAGGTATATGGCCCCTATGAAAAAAATAAACGTTTCTGATACTCACCAGAAAACGCGTTTGTCTTTAACCTTGAAATAAACAACAAGCGTTTGCCCTCAGTACCTTGTTTGGGACTGATGGGAAAGGACAAAGTGTATTCAATATATCAAGCTGTTTCATAATCTGTATTCTATTGTGGCTAGAAAGGAAGATCATTTAGATCATATATCCCCAGGCTGGCAATTGAAAACATTCTTGGTTCAGTTAATTCGGGATTAAATCACGAAATAGCTGAACTTGTTTAACAAAGGTCAACGCGAAGCACTTTATGTTATTCCGCTCTCTTTTGAGTAACCTTTAATGTAGCGTGATAAACATTCTTGATGACTTAAAGGCCGACACTAATACCTGACTGACATGTTGATCAAGAATACTTCGTTTATAAGCTCCTCAGTGAAATTTATTTCAGAAATTCAATTTGAATCCAAAGGTTTCCGGATAGCCTTGCAAGGTCTAAGCTAAGGTGACAAAAGCAGGAAGACCTTGCCTTGGTTACTGCATGCGTAATAAGCAGTGAATAATTTACGAGAACTTGTCTGTATTTGGTCAGATTAAAAATCTTTGAATGATTAAAATTCTTAGAAGCCAATTGGTAGTCTTTACACTTGAGCCTAAATAAGCTAAGACATATTTCAAGAAACGTAAATTTTAATTACTTCAAGTAAAATAAAAGCTTCACACACAACCGATTCTTTTTTGCTTCAGGTTATTTTCCTACGCAAAAAAATTAAGATTGATTGACATGTCTCGCCTTTCTCAAAGCTCAAGAAACCGCAAGTAACCGCAAGTCAGCTAAGTCGGTCATCTAGGATGGTTTTCAAGTCGTTTCAACTTTCCGACTTTAATGAGATGCAAAGCAAAGTTACTTGAGATCTTACTTAGGCCTTCACACACGAATTTTTGGTTAAGTAAAACTTAGCGGCTCTTAAGTCTTATTTAACAGCCTAGTGTAAAGACAACCATTTACATCAAATTCAGGGAAACTGAGCTGGTAGAAATTTCGTAACTAAATCGTGTGTGAATTCACGGCTCATTACGCATGCAAGAATGTAGAGATGAATCTGAAATCTACAACTGCCAACGGACTCAACTTTCGAATAATAAAATTAAGAACGTTCCATTTTAAAATCAGGACCGATTATCTGTCTGACGCTAATTATCCAACGGATAATCCGTCTCTAGTGAGAATACGGATAATTTGATGTCTCTGTAAAATTTTACCAAAAGCGCCTCTAAAAGAGCCGAGATATAAGTACTTTAAAAGATACAGCACAAGCAAAATTTCGCCTTATGAATTTACTCGTTCCCCGCGGTCCGCGGCCTCAAGTCTGCGTCACTTGCCTGATTCTGTGAGACATACACTAGCAGTTTTGTGCTGACCGAAAAGCCTGGCAGTGCCTAGACTTCAAACGGATGCGCACTAGAGGTCGATGCAATAAAATTCATTTTTAAAAAAGTGGTATTTGCTTAGAAATTTTCCAGTTTTCAAACTTTGTATTAACATTTTCGTTTTCGTTTTTTAGCGAGGCAACATATTTTCGTTTCTTTGCTGTTAGATCGATCAGCATTCAGGTCAAGGGATTTATATAGCGGCTGTTTGCTTGAACTTTGGTCTGGACAAGTACTCCTTTGTACAATATCCGATGCGACTGAATTAAGACGGCTTCATGACAGCTAGCGAGGTCAACCAACAGTCCGCAAATACAGGAAGACGAACGTGATAGCTCTACTAGAACAAGTGCTTTCATTTGTTTTCGAAATGTTTCAGTTCTTGAACAAAGGATAAAAAGACACCGACGTTATAATTGTGGCCTTTGTTGTGACTCGGTCAAAACACTTGAAGACAACACCCAATGGCTTAATTGTCAACTATTAAAGGAAATGACTGAGATGTTTTTTAAAACTTGTCTGGGCTTGTCTTCTGAGATACCCAAAATACTGGTATTGCCTCAAGTTTCAGGTTGTTTGATTTTCCGTGTACCTACACACGCATGCCACGCAATAAATTTGGATCAAGTACGGCGATCGTGCAATCTTCCTGTATGTGCCTGCAATATTTTTTGGTGGAAATTTAGTTAATGGTTAGTATCCATAAAAGAGGTATCTAAAAAAAACCTCGACAAGAATTAGCCCATGGGCCAAACCTTAGACTCGTGAGAAATATGCAAAGGTTTTTTTCCGCCTATTTTAGAGCAGTTTTATTCTAGCCCTCTAGTTATGTTGTCGATAAACATATCCTTTATCGGTATCATTTTCCGTCTTTTGTTTTCATCGATTAGCTAAGAAACTCGTAAGGAGAAGAAGGCAGTATCAACAAAAAGCGTACAAAATGATTCATCACTAACTGCTTGTGTTTAAGCCTAGAAGCCTTTAAGGGAAGGCCTTTATGGCGGCGGGGAACACCTGTCTATGAATAAATTCATGCAAAATTCATTTTGCTAGTGCTACATCTTTTAAAATGCTGATGTCACGGCTGTTGTTAATGGTGAAAATTTAGAAAAATTTGTGAACTAAAAACAAAACTTGTGCACGGTCAGGGAGTTTCTCACACTTTTAAAAAAACTGCAGCGGCAAAGTTTGTTTTCATTCAGTTATCAGCTTTCATATCCAATATCTTTTTCTATGGTAATTCTTACGATTTCGACCACTGCTAAATAGCCGTTTTGATCGTCAATTAGAAACCTCTATCAATATTTCCTGTTTTCTTCTCCCCATCTATTAGCTAAGGAATTCTTAGAGAAAAACTAACAATATCATTTAAAGCGTACTTGATAACTCATAATCTGCCTTATTTTTCTTGTATTTCCTCGTATATTTGTTAGACGTTGATTTGTTTCATATCTATGCCTTGCTTTCATTTGAGTACACTAGTACAATAATATAGTTTAATTTAAATGTTTTTTTTTCTCCGACTTCTTGTTCAATGATCAGACAGAATATAGTTAACTCAGGCTCTAGATTTACTTTGCCGTACTTGATCTAGCCTTTCCAAGAAATATTTTTCCATCGCAGAGTCTTTTAAGTCTTTAAGTGACCGTTTGATTTTGTCAACTTCGAAATCAATACGGCACTTGGACGATGCTACAGACATTACTTGAAGTTCTTTTAACATCTTTTCCAGTTCAAGGTACACAGCTACCTTAAACGTGTCTCCAAGATTTGGCGTGACTAGTATGCGGAGGGCAAAGAGCTTTGTGTGAGGCATACGATTAACAATGTTTGGAATATTATACATATGTGTCTCAAACTTTTTAACCTCGGTCATTGCTTGTTCAAATAGATCAGCGTCAAACTCCCACTTCGTCCAGTTTCTGGTTTGAGATGAATAATGATCAATCCTAACAAATCCTTTGACCTCCGAACTCTCGTGAATTTGTTCCAACTTTGCGGAGATAGAAAAGAAGAGTACTTTTACTTTAGCCTCGACTTGATCCTTTGTTTTCTTGTCTTCTCTACAATTTGAACAAGAAAAGTGTCAATATCAGTTAATTCTAGTTAAAATATGTACAGGTTTCTACGGGTAATTAGTTTCCTGTTATTAATCTCCAAAAAAGAGTTGTATATTAGGATGACAATAAACTTTAAATTCAATAAACTTTACAGTTTACAGTGAGTCGCTCCAACCTGTTTCGTTCTGTTTTCTTTGCAGGTCACCTCATAATTTATTGACGTCTTTCACTGCAGACTTTTGAGTATTGTACAATGTCATCGGAAAAAAAAACAATAAGCTTTAAGGTTTCCCGTTATTTCATTTAATTCCACACCCAGTACGGAAACCTGTGTGCCAGGTCTGTTTATAATTAGTTTGCAGAAGCAAGCAGCACACGGCTCTACGGACACTGAAAAGAGCACCGTCTCTCATGTTGGAAGTCAAAGAACTTACGCTTAAGCTCACTCATGTTATGGGAAAGATTTATTAATAAAATTAGTTTTGAAACAAGACTTTTAATTAAACTAAAACGAAAGNTTTAAGTGACCGTTTGATTTTGTCAACTTCGAAATCAATACGGCACTTGGACGATGCTACAGACATTACTTGAAGTTCTTTTAACATCTTTTCCAGTTCAAGGTACACAGCTACCTTAAACGTGTCTCCAAGATTTGGCGTGACTAGTATGCGGAGGGCAAAGAGCTTTGTGTGAGGCATACGATTAACAATGTTTGGAATATTATACATATGTGTCTCAAACTTTTTAACCTCGGTCATTGCTTGTTCAAATAGATCAGCGTCAAACTCCCACTTCGTCCAGTTTCTGGTTTGAGATGAATAATGATCAATCCTAACAAATCCTTTGACCTCCGAACTCTCGTGAATTTGTTCCAACTTTGCGGAGATAGAAAAGAAGAGTACTTTTACTTTAGCCTCGACTTGATCCTTTGTTTTCTTGTCTTCTCTACAATTTGAACAAGAAAAGTGTCAATATCAGTTAATTCTAGTTAAAATATGTACAGGTTTCTACGGGTAATTAGTTTCCTGTTATTAATCTCCAAAAAAGAGTTGTATATTAGGATGACAATAAACTTTAAATTCAATAAACTTTACAGTTTACAGTGAGTCGCTCCAACCTGTTTCGTTCTGTTTTCTTTGCAGGTCACCTCATAATTTATTGACGTCTTTCACTGCAGACTTTTGAGTATTGTACAATGTCATCGGAAAAAAAAACAATAAGCTTTAAGGTTTCCCGTTATTTCATTTAATTCCACACCCAGTACGGAAACCTGTGTGCCAGGTCTGTTTATAATTAGTTTGCAGAAGCAAGCAGCACACGGCTCTACGGACACTGAAAAGAGCACCGTCTCTCATGTTGGAAGTCAAAGAACTTACGCTTAAGCTCACTCATGTTATGGGAAAGATTTATTAATAAAATTAGTTTTGAAACAAGACTTTTAATTAAACTAAAACGAAAGGCTGCTAAGAGCAAGAGAATCGAATATATATCTCAGTTTTCGTCCCCCATCTTGCTTACCTCTCGTGTTCTGAAGTGACAATTAAGATATCTTCCATGCCAATTTCCCTTGCTTCAACATCGAAATATACTCCGCCTTGGTCCGGGAACTTCGTATGAACTTCAGGAACAAGATAACCTTTTCTTGCATAAACTGACAAGGATAAAGAAAACACCTCTCGCTTTATCGAAGACTCCTCTTTGTGGTGATACTTTCCCGAGGCAGAAGCGAGTCCCATCAGTACCGAGACTTTGCCTTCAACTTCGACACTCAAGAGGTAGTTACTTAGTTCATTTTTTCGGTGACATCTCGATGAGTATGAGCAAAACGGAGAGCTTATGAACTTGGCTTTGTCCAAAGTGTGTTCATCGGCTGGTAGACTCCACATTTTGGCTGCTAAGAACTAGAGACTGGGGTGAAGAAACGTCCACGGTTTGGATCGATATTTTGCAATAAAATTTCCGCTTTCGTTGTCTGTAAATATGTGTTGGAATATTTTGTGCAGCACTTAATAATATTACCGTACACTCAGTTGTCAAAACAGGAAGACGAAATTTTCGTTTCATGAGAATTAACAAGCGCTTTCATTAATTTTTAGATCATAACGAAATATCTCAGCTGTTGAACAAAGGATTACTAAGGTGCACTTCATATTTTTTTCCACTCCCTTTTGAGTGGCCTATATGTATGTGCTGTTAATGAGGGGTCAACCAACAGTCCAAAAATACAGGAAGACGAACGTTAGCTCTACTGGAACAAGCGCTTTCATTTGTCTTCGAAATGTTTTAGTTCTTGAACAAAGGATAAAAAGACACCGACTTTATAATTGTTAGTAGCCTTTGTTGCCACTCGGTCAAAACACTTGAAGACAACACCCAATGGCTTAATTGTCAACTATTAAAAGAAATGACTGAGATGTTTTTTAAAACTTGTCTAGGCTTGTCTTCTGAGATACCTAAAATACTGATATTGCCTCAAGTTTGAGCTTGTTTGATTTACCGTGTGCCTACGCACACGCATGCCGCGCAATAAATTTGGATCAAGTACGGTGATCTTGCAATCTTCCTGTATATGCCTGCATTATTTTTTGGTACAGATTTAGTTAATGGTTAGTTTCCATAAAAGAGGGTATATAAAAAAACCTCAGCCAGAGATAGGATATGGGCCACCCATAAAAGACTCATCAGAAATATGCAAAGGTTTTTTCCGCCTGTTTTAGAGCAGTGCATGTTGTTCTAGCACGCTAGTTATGTTGTGGATAAACATAGTAACCATTAATCGATTCCATTATTATATTTACAGTCTTCTATTTTCATCGATTAGGTAAGAAACTCGTAAGGAGAAGAAGGCAGTATCAACAAAAGCGTACAAAATGATTCATTACTGACTGCTTTTGTTTTAAGTCTTTAAGGGAAGGCCTTTATGGCCGCGGGGGACACCTATCTATGAATAAATTCATGAAGAATTGATTTTGCTTGTGCCACATCTTTTAAAGTGCTGATATCTCGGCTGTTGTTAATGGTGATTTAGAAAACATTTTACAGAGACATTGTGGAATGATGGAAGTTAAGAGGTTTTTTATTAATTTGGTAGAATGATGGAAGTTAGGAGGGTTTTTTTATTATGCAGATTAAGCGCCTTACGGCAATGCATTAAGCCAGAGTTTTACCAAATTGAGAAATCGTGATTATGTGTCTATGTTCCGGAAAGAATTGTTGGTTTTCACATGACGTCAGTAAAATTCAAACTACAAAACTATAGATCCTAATGAGATTTTACTTTGAATGTTTTAGAGCAACCTAAAATAAATTTTCATACTTTTTTTTCGTTGAAAAAGAATTCTTGGTTTTGTAATGCTTTACGCTTGAATTCCGATAAGCTTTGGCTGGATGCAGCATTTATATGACAGCCGAGGGAGCTGACATGTACATGTACTTGTAGGTTAAAAAAGTGGCTTAGTCTACAGTCTACCAAGTTTAACCCTCTGCAGGGCCAGCCCGTGAGGTTTTTTATCTGCGCTAAATTCCTAGACACAAAATTGTTGGAAAAGTCAAATTTTCAAACTACTGACAGTGTCCATACTAATCAAAGCACGAGTAATTATCTCCCTAATGGTAATATGGTGAATTACATTCCACGCTTTTTAAGTAAGGTGGCTCGACCCAGTATTTTTGTTAGTACACCTTCCACCTTCGAATCTCTTAGACGTAGTAAACAAATTTATCTTTATTGTAAAACCATTATAACACATGTATTACAAATGGACAAAACTTTATTATGATATTATTTTTTGGGCGACCGAAATAAATATTACGTGACAATTACGTCACAATAGTTCTAACTCTAAATGAAATTGCAGCTCTTATCGGCATTTTCTTTAGAAATGCTTGACGCTATCTATACTTTGGTCTTCTGTTGTTCGAAGTTTAACATAAATCTATTAGAGGAATTTCAGTACTAACAGTAAAATGTTTTTGGTCTGTACTCCTTTGTACAATGTTTATTCAGATCCGATGTGAATTTTAAAAGACGGCTTACTGATAGCTAGCAAGGTAGACCAACCAGTCAAAAAAGGGAGGACGAACGTTACCTCTAGTGGAACAAGTACTTTCATTTGTTTACGAAATGTTTCAGTTCTTGATTAAAGGATAAAAGACACCGACTTTATATTTTTCCTTTTGTCGACATTTGATTTTGAGTGGCCTTTGTTGTCCCTCGGTCACCTTGAAGACAAGCCCCAATGGCTTAATTGTCAACTATTGATGAATGACTATGATGTTTTAACTTGTCTAGCCGCTTGACTTCTGAGATACCTATATACCCCTGATATTGCCTCAAGTTTCAGGTTGTTTGATTTTCCGTGTGTGACTTCCTATGGTAGGCGGAATGGTGCAAAATTCAACAAATCAAAATCGCTACCAACATCAACAACCAATGTGCAGTTCAACCTTTTTTTTCTACATCAACAATAAAATCCGTCCAACTTCAACGATTAATACAATAACCAACATTCGAAGTATGCCTAATTTAACAATTAAAGAAAATCAACATCAACAAAAATTCCTCTTTTCTTTAACGACGATTTTCTTCACAACCAACATCATACATCGACTTCAACAATAAAGCACGTTCAACAATTTGGGGACGAACGACTGGCTATGGTCGAGGGAGGTTGAGACCCAGAAATTCTAATCACAGGGCATGTTGGAAAATAGAGACACGAGGAAACAAACATATCAAACTTAAAACAGTTTTTAAAACACTTAAAACGGCTGCTACGGTTATCGATTTTAAAAATCATGGGTGGATTTAGGAGTCGGCCGAACGGGCCGCGGCCCCCCTTTTTTCTGTGAAATCTTGTATTATTTCATGGGCTCCTGATTAGTTTTAATAAATTCTCTGTAACAAAAACATTAATAGTATCTAATTATAGGTGACACGTTTCCTGACGTCCCCTTTCTTATTTAACTGGATCCACCCATAAGGGTCGTGCTAAAATCCCTCCATGCAGTAATCTTTAAAAAGTGCTTCAGTTTTTCAGTGATGCCCCTCATGAAACAAAATAAGTTACCAATAATTAATTGCTGCCCCCGTTTTGAACTGTCCCCCTCTCCCTCCTTCCTCCACGCTCTCTTGTAACTGGCTAAATAAGCTTCCCGAAGGCAAACGGCAAAAGTGAGTTTGTACCACGCTATCAAGTTTTCCATTTACTTATCGTTCGCTGATCATTATAACAACACGAAAATCGGATGATCCACACCAATTCTATTCATAACAATTGTTTTAAGCTGTTTTCATCAGCTCATCAACCTACGCTGTGTTCAAACCTTTCACTGTTTTGCATATTATGTTAGTCACTTTTTGCCACATAAAGCTACAGTTCACAGGATCACAATACCAAAGCAAACATTTTTATCCTTTTGGGTAAAGGTGATCAAAAATAAAAACATTAATTTAAGGTTTTAAAGTTGTTTTCACAATCAACAAATCAATAAATAAATTAGTTAAAAATGGGCACTAAACTACTCGCGGTTAAAAACTAGTAGAAACAGAATCTTTTATAAGTTTATTCAAAGTGACTTGAGTGGCTTTATTTATACATGAAGTTTTCTGTAAAACTTCCGGTTGCTTTTGAAATACACAGAATTTGTTTTAACAACGTTTCAGTATGCAGCTCAGAATTGTGCATGTAAACCACAAGGGAATAATTAAAAATCATTTTTTTGTAAAGAAGTGCCGCTAAAATGTCTGAATCTTTGTTCGCTTGCCTTGTTTGTCGCATAGTCGTGGCCTCTTTTGTCTTTACTCTTATCTTCTTCTTCTTTTGGAGCCTCAGTTTCACGCGATCTGTCACTGCCTTGGTCACGGTCGCGGGCCTTATCTCGCGTACGCCCACGATCACTTTTTCTATCTCTGTCACGCTCTCTGTGGTCGTCACGATATCTGTCACGATCCTTATTACGTGGTTTGTCATCGCGAGTCTTCCTTGTCTGATCGCGTTCGGGCTCCCGATTCTTTTCCTTCGTCTTGGCATCTTTACTTTTATCTTTTTCTAAGAATAATAATTAACAAAAAAGCAACAATTGAAAAGACAGCATATTGCAGTTATAAAACAATATTGTGTAGTCTTGGTTTTTTTTATCGTAAATTATCTTTTTGTTCAGTCGTAGTCAGATGAGGAAGGGTGATGTATTTTCATAGCAAAACAAAATTAAAAACGAAGAGTCATCTCAGTCCCGAAAATATCTTTTTAACACGCTTTCCGTGTATCACGTACCAGGGAATTTCCAAACGTAAACGTCGTACGGCCTTTAATTTTCCCCCATGTGAAAGTACCGACGGATTAAGAGGTTTTATTTGAATGGTAACATCATAGAAGTGTATCCACAAACACAAAAGTTAGAACATCATACTAAATAAATAGTACCTTGTGAAAGTACTGCCGAAGAAGTTTCACTTGAATGGTAGCATCATAGGAGTTTTTATCCACAGACTCAGAATTAAAGTTAAACACACCTTCCCAGACCTGATAACTCAATCTGAGACTGAACGGCTAAAGAACGTACCCGATGCAATAGTGTCCCTTGTTGATCGTGGTTCAGTTCCCAAATGACCTTTCCTTGGCGGCTGGTACAGTGCTCGATCGGGACGATCCTAAAACCCACCAAAGACCGAAATATTAAATGTAATCAATTGGTAACGAGTGCAATTTTGCAAATAATAGAGAGGTTTAAAATCACGTTTACAGCAAACGTGAAATTGTACCACGTGACCAACTTTTCTCTTTGATTTATACTTGTCGTTTGCTGTTTATTATTTCTACATGGGAATTAGCTGTTTCTGGTTATGTTGATTGATATCGAGTTGAACACGAGAAGATAAAACTCGTATCCACAAGAGGGCATGTAATATTCTGTTTATTATATAGACACCGATGGCGAGATGCTGTGATGCTCTTTTCCTATGGGCTGAGACTGACGTAGCCATGACAACCGTGATATCTTCACATGTGAAGGATCATTGCTAGACTGCAAAACAGTCGGTTTTTTTCCTAACACTGGTTTAGAGTTGCGTAGCAGCAGCGTAAGAGCAAGCGCGTGAGCCTCACATGCCCGAATATGTAGGGCAGGTGAGGCGAGAGAAAAAAAAACCGACTGTCCGTTTTCCATATAATCAGTTCGTTCTGACCAGGGGGTTCAAAAATGTCGTTGAACTGTCAAAAATCTATTCACCACTCCGTCCTCTTTGTAAATTTGACACATCCGGTGATTGATTTCGCGAGAAAATAGCGAAAGCAGTCTTGAGCGTTGTTTCCGTGTACAATGTAGTGTTTTCTGGAAGATCAAACATGAGTGGATGGAAGTGGCAGTACGCCGACAAAGCCTGTTCCTGCCTCTCGAAGAGGGAGAAAGCCGAGCCGAGCGCTTCAGATAATTGTAGAATTTGCAGCTGTTGTTTAAAAACACAGTTCGGCAATTTTAATTAAGAGTGGATAGATAAGTTCTGAAAACACGTTTGTTGCCCCTAATAGTACTAGAGAAAGGTGAAACGTTACCAAAATTGGCCGACCTTCTGATAAACGAACTTTTCGTTGTCCAGTTGACGAAGGAGAATCTTTCTCCACAAAGGTGGAAAGTGCGCTGCGATTCTTTCGCAACTGAACACGCCAACGGACAATGAATTCATCACGGTAGGGAACATCACAAATGACTTGTTGCAAACATAACTTGACAGTTTGCTAAGAGCTTGCATCAAAATTTAGCCAATGGGAATTGCCCGTGGCTGGGAGAAGCGGGCAATTCGAACGAATATATCTTATTCAAAACGGACAGTCCGTATTTTTAGCGTCTCTCTCCAGTCTCGCTCTCCGTTTTCTGCTTTTGTTTAACTGTTCGTGCGTACAGTGTACTTGAATACACAAAAATACGGACTGTTTTGCAGTCTAGATCACTGCAAAAATCCTGGTATTTCATCGTTGTCTATATAATAAAAAGTTTTAGATTCTTCTTTTAGATTAACTGTCTGGATACAGGAAAGGTCCAAGCACTTTGAACTTTGGACTCGTTGTTTTTTAAACTGGGACTCATTGGTTCTGGACAGGGACTCATGCTTCCCAGGAATCACCATAACTATTTCTAACAAAATCACTGACCTTATTACGCACTCGTTCTACCAGTTGATAGTGACTATCTCTCTTCTCATCCTTTCCACTTTCCTTAGAAGATTCTCCTACTTGTGGTTTCTTTTCGCCAGTGCCAGTAACCGAGGACGTGATCTCCTTTTTCTTCTTTTCTTTCTTCTTTCCGGCAAAATTTGCTGTTGATCGTGGGTCGGCTCCCAAATGACCCTCAGTTCTTGGCGGCTGGTACAGTGCTCGATCAGGACGATCCTAAAACCCATTAAAGACAGAAATAGTATATGTAATCAACTGGTGACGAGTGCAATTTTGGAAATAATAGAGAGGTTTAAAATCACGTTTACTGCAAACGTGAAATTGTACCACGTGACCAACTTTTCCCTTTGATTTGTACTTGTTGTTTGCTATTTATTATTTCTACATGGGAATTAGTTGTTTCTGGTTATGTTGATCGATCAGATGTATATTGCACAGTTTTTAATTGTTTATGTCCTAAATTTGGAAAATTCTCAACCTGCATCTCACCTTTCCCTCTAGCCTTTTGCCGTGAACGTGACCCTAAATCTCTCCAATTCACGCGCGTTTTGTCCAAATTGTAATAATTATATATAGCGGATAGTACATGCCCGCACGTGGATACGAATTTTATCTTCTCTTGTTCAACTCGATATCTCACGAGTGCTAGATAAAATTCATATCCACAAGCAGGCATGTAATATTCTGTTTATTATATAGACACCGATGGCGAGATACTGTGATGCTCTTTTCCTATGGGCCGAGACTGACGTAACCATGACAACCGTAATATCTTCACATGTGAAGGATAAAAATTGTGTCTTCACCGGATACCAAAGTTTCGTGACTGGAAAAAATCCTGGTATTTCATCGGTGTCTATATAACAAAAAGTTTTAGATTCTGCTTTCAGATTAACTGTTTGGATACATGAAAGGTCCAAGCAATTTGAACTTTGGACTCGTTGTTTTTTAAACTGGGACTCATTGGTTCTTGACAGGGACTCATGCTTCACAGGAATCACCATAACTATTTCTAACAAAATCACTAACCTTGTTACGCACTCGTTGTACTCGTTGATAGTGACTATTTTCCATTTCATCCTTTCCACTTTCCTTAGAAGATTCTCCTGTTTGTGGTTTCTTTTCGCCAGTACCAGCAATCGAGGACGTGATCTCCTTTTCCTTCTTTTCTTTCTTCTTTCCGGCAAAATTTGCTGTTGATCGTGGTTCAGCTCCCAAATGATCTTTTCTTGGCGGCTGGTACAGTGCTCGATCCGGACGATCCTAAAACCCACCAAAGACAGAAATAGTATATGTAATCAATTGGTAACGAGTGAAGTTTTAAAAATAATAGAGAGGTTTAAAATCACGTTTACGGCAAACGTAAAATTGTACCACGTGACCAACTTTTCCGTTGAATTTATTCTTGCTGTTTGCTATTTATTATTTCTAAATGGGAATTAGTTTTTTCTGGTTAACAAAATCACTAACCTTGTTACGCAGTCTTCGTTGATCACTACTTCTCTTCTCATCCTTTCCACTTTCCTTAGAAGATTCTCCTACTTGTGGTTTCTTTTCGCCAGTACCAGTAACCGAGGACGTGATCTCCTTTTCTTTCCTTTCATTCTCCTTTCCGGCAAAATTTGTTGGTGACGGTAAGTCAGCTCCCCAAGGACTTTGTTTTAGTTCATAAACTTCTCCATCGAGACGATCCTAAAACCCACCAATGATAGAAATATTATAGCTAATCAATTGGTGATGAGTGAAATTAGGAAATAATAGAGTGGTTTAAAGTCACGTTCACGGCAAACGACAAACGTGAAATTGTGCCAAGTGGCCAACTTTTCTCTTTGATTTATACTTGCCGTTCGCTATTTATTTCTACATGGCAATTACCGAGTCCTTGATCATTCCGGATATCAAAAAAACCGAATCTAATGATTGTTTTATTATAAATTGTTTTGAAAAAAATAACGATAAACATACCGTCGCATTACGAACCTGAATTGAATGATTCTGTTATTGGAAATCATACATTGCACGCAAAACTTACAGATTAGTCAGTTATCTGGTAGCACATAACTAAGTAATCTGTAAGTTGCGCTGCGGTTCCAAAATAGCTGTAGGTTCTTAGCCAATGATAGAGAGTACAATGTATAATAATATTTATATCGTATTTCATTACTGGTTAATGTTTTTGAGAAAATAAAGCTTAAACCTGAAGTACCCTACTTTTTAAAGAAGTTCCGGTCTAGTAAAAAAATGTTCTATTATTTTTTTACCGAAATTTTATGTTACCGGCACCAAAGAAAGAATAAATGATTTCTTGAATAAAACCCACCATCAGTTTCGCTGTATTTTCGCTATTTGAAGCAGATAAAGAACTATTGGCATCCGCAGTGCTGTTTTCTTCCAAAGACCGAGTAACTGTTGAAGGAGTTCCTAAAAGATTGAAGAGGATAAAAATTTGAGTGGAACAACAAAATGAGCTAATCTGAATTTTTGGTAACAGTAACAAAACTCGCGAATCAATAGTAAGAAACGGACGAGGACTCTCTTTTCAGTCTTCACGCGGTTCATTTTCTCGCTCGCCCTAGGTCCACATTACCTAGACTTCGTTCCCAGAACGATGCTGAAATAACTGAAAGCTTGTATCAGGTAAAACTGCGAATATTATTGTTGCCTTCATTCCGCATACCGTTAAACACACTAATATTCGTTAATTTCCTTTCTGACAAGGAAAGTGATTACAGCGTGAGACAACCTCTTTTCCATTTCAAGAGACGCAAAAGAAAGAACAAAGCACTCGCTACTGATTTAAGGTGATTCCCTGGTTTTGCATTGCGCATCTCTTACTGCGCATAACAAGATGGCCGCCGTAAACAAGAGCATGTGAAGTAACATTATTAAAATGAAGTTGACTAAAGTTGACTAAAATGAAGTTGCTTACGGTTGTTTCTTGCCGAGGTGAGACTCATTGTGTTGCGAATGTGCATAACGTAAGCAGTACGCGTGTTGCTGAGTTCGACTTCCTCACGGAGAACCTCGATAGTGGATGTTTAACTTGTGATTACTCACTTTGATTTTTATTTAAACGCTTTCTTTATCACATTGTATCCTAAATGTGATATCTCGATGTAAATTCTGTAAAAACAGATTTTTTAAAACTTTCTTCCCCCTTTCACATAAATTCTATTTTGAAACTCGCCCCAGTCCTCCCTCAAAACTCGGAGAAAATGCATTTGGTGCGCACTTTCTGCAGCTCTACCGCAAAAACGAGCAAGGTGACCCCCATTTTTTATTTCATGATTTTAATAAGGACAGTGCTTCCTTTCGATGAGAAAAAAATTGGCACAAATCTATGTTCAGTTTTTTGGCAATTTTACTAAATTGTACGGATTGAGCTATCACGGGTCGAATAGCGCGTGTCCAATTCAATTCTACTTTGGAGCGTAAAATAAAAACAGGAGCATTAAAAGGTATTTTTCTGGTTTGTTAGTGGATAAACAATACAATAAAGTCAAATTCTGTGCGATATCACATGCATCATCGAAAAAATCTCTCGTTTTTGTCTTGTTTTGGGCTGCGCGCGGTTTTTGACAAAGGGTCAAAAATAGCCGTATTTCTCAGCATTGTGACGTCAAAACGAGCACGGTGACCCCCACTTTTTATTACTTTTTTTTCATCTTCTTGACTCGTTACATCAGTGTCCCAAGTTTCATCTACAATCTATGTTAGGTTCTTTTACTAGGGAATCACCTTAAGTGCAGATTTTGTGTGTAAATGTCATGTATTTTTGCTAGAAAAAAGAAATTTTACCATTGATATTTTAAACCCTAAGAGTGATCAGCTTGAAATTTCTCCTTATAACATCAATTCTTTATAAGACAGAATGATCATGAGATTTGACAACATGATCAGAGAAAGTGAATCGACTTGATATTTCTGAATCAAAAAATTCTCTCCACTTCTTCTATTGAAAATGTGATAGGGACAACAAATGAGAGTGTGAAGTTAGACATTAGGGTTAAAAGACTCACCACTGGTCATCGTTAGGAATTCTTTATTGCCGCAAGTCAGGCCAGAAATCTCGATTGTGCCGTTTCCGATTACCATGACGCCATCCTTTTGCTGGCTGGTGACGTCATAGATTTCACTCTCCCTTTCAATCTCAGGATTTCCAGGCAAACCTGTCGCTCCTGAAGTGTCAACAACAACAACATTTTTAATCAATGTCACGCCATCATTGCCGTTTTCAGCCCTTGCTGCACAACTATCCTTAACATTACCTTTCACATCGGAATCTTCCACAAAGGTTTTTGTAGACACGCCAGATATGTCACTTGCAGGACTTCGACTTTCCACGTTCCGTATAACGTGTTTTTCATTCTCACTATTCCGGGTCATCATTGTAGTTTCAGCTCCTGATGTCTTGCGTGCGCGAAGAAAAACTTCACCTTCGTCTTGAATAGTCAACATTACATCACCTGTCACTGCCAGAGGAGTTTTGCAAGAGAGTTGGGATGAGTTAACATTTTCTGTTTCCAAGGCAAATATTCGTGTTGCTTCGTCAGAGGTGGAAAGGGGTAAACTGAAGGGCGAAGATTGCTTGGGCGAGGCCGGATGAATCAAGAGACAAGATTCCAGGAGTGCCTGTTTTTCCGCCGAGGGTAAAGAAGACTCTGGTTCGATGGTCAGTGGAATCGGAGGCTCAGATGGTAGCACATCGATAACTATTTCCAGTTCAACGGTTGGCGAGACTATTTGGTCGTCGTTGAGTTCAGTTTCTGCCTTTAGGGTTTTTCTAGAAATAGGTGTTAGTGAGGAGCACTGGGCTACAGGTTCTGGAAACAGAGATGAGGCTTCTGGTTCTGCTGAAGTTATATCAAGTGAGGAAACGGACGTCAAAGATGATGAAGAAAACCACGAAAACATATTAGATAAGGAAGAACAGGTAAAAGAGGTGTCCGGAGAGCTCAAGTCAGGTACATCAACAACCTCGTGGGAGTCGGCTTGAGGAGCATCAACAACCACACAAACTGGACTGGATTCAGAGAGATCAACAATGGAACAAGCAGTATGTCCTTCAGAAGCTAGATTTGAGTCAGGAATATCGACCACCACGCAAGTGTTTTCTCTAGGAGAAACTGCCATCAAAGGGGGAGTGTCTGTTACGGTCCATGGTGATTGGGCATCAAAGTGTGTGGCTGCCAGTTGGTAAGATGACGGATTTGGTTTGGGTTTATGACTATCAGAGTCCCTTGATGTCCGCGTTCCGCAGTTTATTTTCTCTTCCTGGCTAAGCCGCTCGCTGGGGCTAGTCAGGTCAGGGTGTTTTCTCCGTATGCATCTTTTCTTACACGTTCTCCTGCAATTGAAATTAAAGAAAAAAAGTGCTATTGTGAACAGTGGTAAGGGACAGAAGAGCAGCCTAAAGACTTCTAACAAACTGATTGAGTGGACAGTGAGACTAGAAAGAATCAAACATCCACCAATTTCTGTAAAGTAACATCTGCCAAATCCGTTGGTGTACATGTTGCTTTGACGAGTCGCTTAAACGGGCACCACATATAGAGAATTTTAAAATCAGCACAGTCGGAGCCCTTTTAGTGTGCGAGACAATTTGTTCCTCCGTCGACCCTCGAAACACAGTATAACTCTCTTATCCGACCGTACCTTGACTATTACAGCGTTGTTTGGGAGGGGCTTAGAGTCAGAATTTTCTCTGAAGCTTCAAAAACCACAAGACCGCGCAGCTAGGATCATAACCTTTTTCAGTTATGATTCTATCTCGGCCCCCTGCTCCAAGAGCTTGGATTGGACGGGCTCTCTATACGCAGAATTAATAGATAGAAATGTTCAAGGTGTACAACAATATGGCACCTGAGCAATTATAACAAAAAGTTTTGAAAATGGGGTCGACCTATGATACAAGGGGCTCTTCTTCTAGATTTCAACTGCCTCTTACCAAAACCAAAAAGCGTTTTGGCTATATGGGCGAGTTTCGTTTGGAAAATAAATAACTCGAGAATTTGCGTGAATGCAAGTCTTAATGAAGTATTTAAATCTGAATTGGAACTGCTTGCTTCCCCAGCTTCTTTGATTTGATCTTACTATAATTTAAGACTAGAATATTTTATCAAAGGTTAATACCTAATAAAATATTTCTAGTCATAAAAGCTGTCTAAAAAAGTATATATCTATCAAAGTTTTGAGTTAATATTAGTTGTGAAATAGAACAAAATATATATAGTTTTACATATATTTTTTTCTTTTTGACAACTAATATTAACTTAAACCTCTGATTGATGTATACTTTATGTAAACCATATTTAATTGACAAAACTTCCGTGACTCAATATCTATAACTCGGAAATAACATCTTGTAGAGGAATTGGGGGAAAGGTATTACAAATCCTGCTGGAACATAAAAAGTACGTACGATACTCGATATACAAGTTAGTTTATCGTAACGCAAACCTAGTAACATATCCGCCAATGAAGACGTGTTAAACAAAACTACTAGCTACATGATTTGCTTTCTTGTTGTTTGCAAAGCTTGCCAATTTAAAGTCGACTCTACCTTTATGTAAACGGAATGGTATATAAGTTCATGGTGAGTTTAAAAGCAATCACTAAACATGTACAGTGTCAACTATCATCAGTTCCTGTCTTAAAACATTCTTATTAAACATTGGCAATTGGCATTGGTCAGCCACGACTAAGACAATTTCATAAAGAACCTAAGATTATATCGATCACACAAACGAGGAAAGTCTCTTTAATTGGAAAATCAAAGCAACATACCACAGACGAGCCAGTCCAGCAAATATGAACAGGAACACCACTATACCAGCACCAACCAATGCAAAATTGACAGAAGATCTTGACTGTTCTTCTCCATCGGCTTTATCAGTAACAGGCTCCTCCCTATCGTCGTCAATTTGCTGAGGTGAGGCTCTTTTCTTTCTCTTCTTGTAACGTTTTTTGTTTTCGTTTTGATCCCCAGTCCTGAGATGGTACGCAAACAAACGGAGGCCTGAGGATGGCATCTCGTAATGCGCGCTTGCTTTGTGCTGATGCGCCTTAGAGTTGGTGCCACCTTGTTTTCGGCGGTCGTGCTCTGTTATTCGGGGTTTAGGAATGTCTTGCGCATGCTCTGAATGATCGTGGTTTGTATCGCTTTTGTCTTTAGCTTGAGTATTGAATTTTGATGAACCATGGCCAGCACCTTCTCCATTGGTCTTCGAAAAGAACCTGTCCTCGTCTGGTGTCGGTAAGGGTGTTAAGATCACGGGTACTTTAACTTTTCTCTGGATTGGTACTTCTGGAAGGATAAAAACGCAGATATCATATTAACAAGGGAAAAATAAGCCACCTCTTAACGTTTTTGGTTCTGGAGAACACTCATCAAGAGGTGCTTTTATGATATCCTGCCCTGATATGAGGTCGCTTTAACTGACAAACCGGTATGATAAACGTTCCCATTCAGTCCTCAGCTGCTCAAAAAGTAGATAGCGATGTATCTACCGGAAAAATCATTATCCAGTGAATAAAAGTAGTACGAAAACGAATTGCGTTATCCCTTGGTTATAGTTTTATCTAATGGAAAGCGCTATCCATCTTTTGAACAACCGGGCCAGCCGGGAATTTTTTTGGTCGCGATATTAACGTCTAGCTGATGCATTAAAACCTAAAGTGGTGGTTACAAATTAATGCAAACTTTCTTTTGTCTTTAAAAGGACTATTATTCTCCCCTCAAGAGAAAAATTCTCGAAATAACAACTATAAGGATAAAACAATAGCCAATCAACGTCAAAACCCAAGCATTTCAGTCTAAAAGTTACTGCTTTGGGAAAGTTGGAAAGGAAATATGAAAAACTGTTCTAGGTAGTTACCAGAAACATTTAAAAATATTTCTTGCCTGTGGCAAATGGTGGTCGCACTCGCTCGATTGTTGACGAAGCTGAAGGTCTTACTCCAGTACGAGTTGAAACACCAGTTTTATGCCTTTTGGCCAATCTTCGCATTGCAAGCTTGCGTATGGTAAAGATGTTATTCTCATTTCCGGGATAGATGTTCCCTCGTTCTTTGCCGGTTGTTACTGTCTCTTCATTGTCTTTCTCCGCAGAAAGGGGCTTTGTCCCTGCTAAAAATTTTTGCAAGGGGTAAGATGGTGCGGAATAATTTTTGTGCATATGCTGTGCAATTGTTGCGCTTGAACAAAGAAATATTTTTCAAATTCGCCATCCAATAGACGATGCTGTGCTAGCTTAAATTCAAAGAAAAAAGAATGCACAAAATAAACGCATTCAAAATACCAACAAACGACATTTGCACATTAACACAATTATATGAAGTCCACAAAGGAAGAGCCACTCTTACCGTTACAAATTTTGATTTTCAACAATACTAGGGCAAGAAGCACCAGTAAAAATAAACTTTTCCACTTCATCCTTAAAGAATTGTTGCAGAATTAAAAGCTAACGTCATAGACGCATGTTTTTGATGGCGCGCGCACCTCACCTCGCGCTCATATCTGGACTCCAGAACCTTTCTGCACGTGTCCGGAGGGTTGTCCAATACGCACACTCAAACTGAGTCCAACATTTCACTTAAATACTATTCCATTGATCTAATGTTTTAATCTTACTTATACCCCCAGATTATTGCAGCATTTCTTTTTTTTTTCCTTGCCGTTCTCTTGCCTTTAAAAGCATGAATCCCTTTTTTCATGATATAACGAATTGAAATTGTGTTACGCATCATGTTTCACTTAGTGCTATTCCATTCAACCATAATTATTTAAGTGTAATGGTTATGAAACCCGTTAGACTCTTTTGTTATATTTTTTTGTTAGCTTTTTTGGACCTGACTGTGCACAACGTTCAATAGCAATCCTATCATTTTGAATTTACAGACCAATAAAATCATCTCATTTATTTATTCAGTTACCATTTGAGAACAAAGAACATTGGCTTGTTCACGGTCAGAGAGCTTCCAACATAAACCAGTCTCCACCACTAACCATGATTGAACTCATGTCAAAGAGAAACTTAAAGTGGATTTTCAGATTGTTTAGCTTTTTTTTTCTACCTAGAGCATTTTTCAACTTGCAACATGATTTGAAAGATATCTTCTTACTGTACATTGACTTTTAAGTCTTCCACTGATTTGGATAACTTTCAGTTACTCTCCAAACAAACCTTATTTTAAGGAAGTAAAATGAATAAAACGAAATGAGACGATATTAAGAGTATGAAGTCATTGATTTGCGTTATAAGAAATTTTTGAGCTGGCCAGATAAAATATGATGAAATAGTTATCCTTCTTGTCCATTACGGGGAAGTGGGTCCATATTGTGGTATGCCTACACGCTCAATTCGTGCCACTTAACTCGTAGAAAAAGGCCATCAAATCATTACCAAATCTAACCAGCGGTCCATTTCGAATCGCTTTTTTCACGTCATGCCTCAAAAAAAGAGGTACATGCCTGCGTGTGTTGGGTTCTACCGATTGCTTCATGAACAACTTCCATTTTAAGTGTAGCGCTCTTATTTAGCCTCCGTGTATCATAAAGAACGAGTTATATTGCTCATATAGCGTATTTGTTTGAACTCTACCTTTTAGAACGCAGCATTACATGCGTAACGCACTTGTTTCGCATCACTGGCATATTGCATGTGTAGCGTGCTTCATCTCATGGTTAAAAAAGAAAAAGACCTATATTACATGTGGAGCACCCATTTTTCGCGTCACGGCTTTAAAAACGACGTATATTACTAAACAGTGCAGCGCGCTTCAGTTTCGTCTTATGGCTTTAAGAACGACGTATATTACATGCGTAACACGCTTGTTTCCCCTTATGTCTTAAAGAACGACGTATACTACATGTGTAGCGCGCTTTTTTCACCTCATGGCTTTGAGAACTACGTATATTACATGTGTAGCCCACTTGTTTCGCCTTACAGTTTAAAGATATTTATAAGTCCGTCGCGAGCTGACTTCCGGTGATTCCGATCAACTCTTGCCAGGACGAACTGTCTCCATCGCATCCGATCGAGTCTGTTTGCCAATATCAGGGCGTAAGGAGCTACCCTAGCTCTTTACGCCCTGGCCAATATCTTCAACCCTCGCTCGCTCCTGTTAACTTCTTACTTCCGGTACCACTGATCAAGCGCCTTAGGAAAGTTGTAAAGGAAATATGAAAAACTGTTCTAGGTAGTTACCAGATACATTTAAAAATATTTCTTGCCTGTAGCAAATGGTGGTCGCACTCGCTCGAATGTTGACGAAGCTGAAGGTCTTACTCCAGTTCGAGTTGAAACACCAGTTTTATGCCTTTTGGCCAATCTTCGCATTGTAAGCTTGCGCATGGTAAAGATGTTATTCTCATTTCCGGGATAGATGTTCCCTTGTTCTTTGCCGGTTGTTACTGACTCTTCATTGTCTTTCTCCGCAGAAACGGACTTTGTCCCTGCTGAAAATTTTTGCAAGGGGTAAGATAGTGCCGAATAATTTTTGTGCATATGCTCTGCAATTTTTGCGCTTGAACAAAGAAATATTTTTCAAATTCGCCATCCAATAGACGATGCTGTGCTAGCTTAATTCAAGGAAAAAAGAATGCCCAAAATAAACGCATTCAAAATACCAACAAACGACATTTGCACATTCAGAACACAATTAAGTGAAGTCCACAAAGGAAGGGCCACTCTTACCGTTACAAATTTTGATTTTCAACAATACTAGGGCAAGAAGCGCTAGTGAAAATAACGTTTTCCACTTCATCCTTCATGAATTGTTGCAGAATTAAAAGCTAACGTCATAGACGCATGTCTTTGATGGCGCGCGCACCTCACCTCGCGCTCGTATCTGGACCCCAGAACCTTTCTGTACGTGTCCGGAGGGTTGTCCAATACGCACACTCAAACTGAGTCCAACATTTCACTTAAATAATATTCCACTGATCCAATGTTTTAATCTTACTTATACCCCCAGATTATTGCAGCATTTCTTTTTTTCCCTTGCCGTTCTCCTGCCTTTAAAAGCGTGAATCCCTTTTTCATGATATAACGAACTGAAATTGTGTTACGCATCATGTTTCACTTAGTGCTATTGCATTCAACTATAGTTATTAAAGTGGAATGGTTATGAAACCCGTTAGACTCTTTTATTATATTTGTTAGCTTTTTTGGACCTAACTGTGCACAACTTTCAATAGCAATCTTATCATTTTGAATTTACAGACCAATAAAATCATCTCATTAATTTATTCAGTCACCATTTGTGAACAAAGAACACTGGCTTGTTCACGGTCAGAGAGCTTCCAACATAAACCAGTCTCCACTACTATGATTGAACTCATGTCAAAGAGAACTTTAAAGTGTATTTTCAGATCATTTACCTTTTGTTTTTCTACCTAGAGCATTTTTCAACTTGCAACATGATTTGAAAGATATCTTCTTACTGTACTCTGACTTTTAAGTCTTCCACTGATTTGGATAACATTCAGTTACTCTCCAAACAAACCTTATTTTAACGAAGTAAAATGAATAAAACGAAATGAGACGATATTAAAAGTATGAAGTCATTGATTTGCTCTATAAGACATTTTTCAGCTGGCCAGATAAGATATTGATGAAATAGTTATCCTTCTTGTCCATTACGGGGAGGTGGGTCCATATTGTGGTATGGCTACACACTCATTTCCTGCCACTTAACTCGTAAAAAAAGGCCATCATATCATTACCAAATCTAACCAGAGGTCCATTTCAAATCGCTTCCTTCGCCTCATGCCTGAAAAAGAGAGGTACATGCCTGCGTGGTCTGTTGGGTTCCACCGATTGCTTCATGAACAACTTCCATTTTAAGTGTAGCGCTCTTATTTAGCCTCCGCGTATCTTAAAGAACGAGTTATATTGCTCATATAGCGTATTTGTTTGTCCTCTGCCTTTTAGAACGCAGCATTACATGCGCAACGCACTTGTTTCGCGTCACTGGCATATTGCATGTGTAGCGTGCTTCATCTCTTGGTTAAAAGAGAAAAAGACCTATATTACATGTGTGGCGCGCTTGTTTCACCTCATGGCTTTAATTAAGACATGTGGAGCACCCTTTTTTCGCGTCATGGCTTTAAAAACGACGTATATTATTAAAAAGTGTAGTTCGCTTGTTTCGCCTTATGGCGTTACGAACGACGTACATGCGTAGCACGCTTGTTTCGCCTCATGGCTTAAAGAACGACGTATATTACATGTGTAGCGCGCTTTTTTCACCTCATGGCTTTAAGAACTACGTATATTACATGTGTAGCCCACTTGTTTCGCCTTATGGCTTAAAAATATTTATAAGTCCGTCGCGAGCTGACTTTCGGTGATTTCGATCGACTCTTGCCAAGACGAACTGTCTCCATCGGATCCGATCGAGTCTGTTTGCCAATATCAGGGCGTAAGGAGCTACCCTAGCTCTTTACGCCCTGGCCAACATCTTCAACCCTCACTCGTTCCTGTTAACTTCTTACTTCCGGTACCACTGATCAAGCGCCTTGCGCCCATTTCCGGTTGCGGTCGCGATCTGACTTAATCCGCTTGAAGACAACCCAACTCACGCCGAGTGTATTGGACATGTGTGCACGAAGAAACTGGAAACCAAATTGGAAAAACCGGCAACCACATGGGACACCAAATCCGAAAAACCGCTTTCTTGTTTTGTTAAAAAACCGTAAACCAGATGCTAAAAAAAACGCAAACCGCAACGGACATCAAACCTAAAACTATTCATTATTCGCACTATGCGAGCGGAAGGCTAGGATATTAATTATTTATATTTTCTTTTTTCAAAGGTAATACTGACATCTTACATTGCTATATCATGTAGGCGTGTTCCTAGCTTTCAATTTTACTCTCATAATATCAATATTATCTAATCTCTAGTCAACTATACGTTCTTTTAATTATAAGTGTCTCAAAAATGCTGGTGACATTGTCAATCCCGAGACGCTGTACTGAGAACACGAACCTTTTTCAGGATCTTGGGTGACCAATTCATCATTTTTTGACGATTTAAAAAATGAAATCCCCAGAAGCCCAACTTCAACAAATGATGGAACAGATCAAGGCAAGAAGTAAAACAGAAGTGATCCTTGAATCAGGATTTTTTGCTCTCATTCTCTCAATTTTATTTGTTGGAAATTTCACAACACTCCTGATCATGGTTTTGAACCGTCGCATGCGAACAATTCCAAATATGCTTGTTGTGTCGCTCGCTGTTTCAGACTTTGGCTTGGGAGCTCTCTGTTCTGGTCCTTTGGGTCTTTTAGCGATATCAACATCCGACTGGCCTTTTAACGATGCAACTTGTCAATACCAAGGGTACATAGCCATAACCATGGCCGTTGCCTCCACACAAACGCTGACCATCATGGCAGTGAACAGGTACTTCCGAATTGTGAATCAACGTAAGTACCGTCGCTTTTTCACTAAGAAAAAAACCACGATCATAATCATAGTATCTTGGCTCTATTCCCTGTTTACTCCTTTGCCTTACGTACTCAGCGGGCATAAAATGATCTTTCATCCATCCAAGTTTTTCTGCTACCTTCAAGTCAATAGTGGGCCATTCACGGCGTTCTTGGTGACTGTCAACGTGGGTATTCCATCCAATGTCATCTTTTATTGCTACCTAAAAATCTTTAAATCTGTTGGCAACCACAGCAATAATTTTCAGTCAAGTAGACATGGAACCAGCAGGGCTGTAAAAGTGAAAGATATCAAGATTGCTCGCACGCTATTTGCGATAGTAATATTCTTTACTCTGTGTTGGACCCCTGTTTTGTTGATAGACGTCGTGGACACAATAAGAGGACGTTGGAGCTTTCCTCGCGAGGCCTACTTAGCATACAGCTTTTTGATCACAATAAGCAGTGCTCTGAATCCGGTCATATACGGTGTAATGAATAAGAACTTTCAGAAGGAATATCTCAAGATTTTACGCTGCAGCCACTGCCGTACACAAGTGGCCGTAGAACCTTTCTTAGTGGAGGGAAGATCTAGAACAACAACATTCAGTGAAAATTCCCTAAGAGTTCGCAAAAAGGAAAATTTGAACGAAGAAAGAATGTAAAATTACTATAAATTGTAATGTCATACCATCATGGAAATGCTGGTTAGATATGAAGCAATTAAGATATTGTATTTTGCGCACTTTTAACATAATTAGTGGGCTTATAAACGACATTAGAATTTCAACTGCGACAGAACACAATTTCTTCTGACCAAGTAAACACTTTTTCCCTCTGCTTGAGGCTATCAACATTTTGTATTTAGATACTTCTAAGGTTAATAGAAAGAACCGAAAAATGGGTAACATAAAATGACGAGAAGAAAAAGAACACCTGCATCAGTTTTCTCTTAATATTTGCTTTACGCGTAACATAAACAATTATCATCCGGAAAAATGGTTTACATTTTGATAAAATTTGATTTAAGGTTGTCAGTCAACCGAACCTGACTTCGACAATGGTATTTGTGTATAAGCCTATAATAATAGTCAAACAATATTAAATAATAAAAATGATACGTGATTTACGCTTATATCGTGACTCGTATGCTTAGTGTAAAGAGCTTGAGTAATAACTAAACGCAGAAAAACAAGAACATTTAGTTTAATTTTAGATTTAGCAGGTTGACCCTGAAGCATTCTCGTCCCCAGAGACACTCGGCTAAATTTGTAATAAAACCACGGGCTCTGGAGACGAAGCCCTGAACCCGCTTAATGAACCCGCTTACTTCAAGTGTGACACATGCGCTCTTGCGGCAGTCGGTATTCTTAGTGAATGGAAAGATAAGTTTCCACTGCGAATGTGCGACGTTTTTATGAGTTGTGATTTTGTTCTAAAATGCTTTGCTGTTCTAAAGTGTAGAGCTCGGATATAAGCGAGAACAACTGAATAATCTCTGACTCAATTTGTTCAGATACACAGTCTCAGTTATCAGTTGGCAAATGAAATCTGGAAATTTTATTGAATTAGACACCGAGTGATATTGTTTGGATACAATTTCTCATAAATAAATTCTTAAATTGAATTAGATTCGAAATAGTGAAGTTTTTACCAGAGTTTCCGATTCCTCGATCTATACCGATCAAAAATGTGGTTTTGCTAAATCTAAAGCCCTAGTTTAGTAAGAAAAGGCAGGTATTCCTTCTTCAAAATGGGTAAATTACGTTCTTAATTTTGTTTGTTTTCTTTATTTGCACAGAAATAAGGATATACAAAGGTGTTTATTTTTTTGTCATTACGTTTTTGAACTTCAATGGAAAAGATAATTACGTATCATTGGCTGAGGAAATCTCACTTCCCCTGAGATCACGTTCCAATGTATAAAATGAATAACCGCGAAAACTTTCCCCTATAGTCCGTCATAAACAATCTGCCTACAAAAAGCATGGTTACTACTTCTCAATCAATCAATCCCAATGAATTTTGACACTGGCTTGCTTCAACTATGATACAAAAACAGCTAGAAATGCAATGTTACAAAAAGAATATCTAAATACCGTATGATATTTTTTGTATGTTTGCTGATCAATGAAAAGGCAGCATTTTTAAACTTAAAATACATCTGCTACCGTAAACGGTATTATAATACTCCAGTGTCCTTCTTATGAGGTTATCTTAACAAAAAAGACGTTTTTAACAAGGATGTATATATTATTTAAACACCCGTAGACACTGCTATCAAAATCAAAGTATCGTTTATTAGAGGACAGAACTTTGCTATAATGTTTTGTAAATAAAGTAAAAGGTGTTAAGCAGGTGTATAACGACGGGCGAGTTTCTTTCTATCAAAGTGTTTTGAGTTTTCTATAATCACAGTTTGGTCCAAGGTCTTCATTAAGCTATAAGGTAAGATTCCCTTTCTTTTATATACGGCCCATAACCTCTTGAAAATATCCTATGGCCAACATCTAACACGCGCTATATATCCATTAGATTTTTTTCACTGATCTTAAAATAAGCAGCATTTGAAAGTCTTACTTGATCGAAAGCAACCAAAGTGACAATGCCAACTTCGCAAACTACACCGTTATTGAGAGGACAGGCACTTTTTTAAACTTTCTTTTCCTCCACTGTATTTACAAAGCTAATTTGAATAATTCATTCAGGAGAAAAGTTCGTCTTGGAACTATTTTTGAAATCAAAAGAAACAAAATTTGCTTTATCTGTTGGTGTTACCAACTGAAATTTTTAATTTGACTATTTAATTTTACGTTGTAGTTTTCGAAGAGTAAAGAGTGAGAAAAATGCTAAATTGTGCCGGTAGATTAGAGGCATTTTATCAGCTCATTACAAGCATATTGTTTCTAACTATGGCCCCATAAACCATGCAAGCGTTCAACTTCCAGGCTGTTTTTTCATCCTCTGTTCAGCTTCAAACGCCACAGATCTCATGTGATGAACCTATGAATAGATAAAACGGCTCGACAAGGCGCGCGGGTAGAGGGTGCCTTTAGAGTGATAAATGATTCAAACGACGAACTGACAGAAAAAATAGGTATCGACGTATACGAGTGAATTACGGGGAGAGTTCAAATCGACACATTGCCCTAGTAATGGAATCCAGTCTTGGATTCTGGATTCCACGCCGTGGATTCCGGATCTCAGGTACTGGATTCCAATCCGTCTTGGTCAGTGGAACTTGGATTTTGAGTTCCAATCGTTAGTAGTATTCCGTATTCCAAAGCCCTGGATTCCGAATTCCACAGGCAAAATTTCCTGGATTGCGGATTCCACAACCAAAAATTTCCCGGATTCCCAAATTCGAATTCTCTCACTTGGGGCGAGACACATGAACGAATCGATTGCGGCTGCGCATGCCATATCAGAAAATGTGACAATCTTTGTAGAAATTAACTTCTTAACCTAGCGTGCCGTGTGGGGCTTGAGCATGAAGCGTGGAGTTTGATCCGCCCGTTAAAGCATCATTACCAAGACCTAATTTGCGACTTTCATGATTTCGTTGTGCAAGTGCTAATCATCTCTTCATATGATCTCTACCACAGGTGAAGTAATGCTTGATCTCTTTATAAGATGAACACCGTCCATTTTGCTTTTTCATTTGTGGTTTTCGCCGTCGAGGGATATTTCAGAACTACAGCAGATGAAGCTTGCTCTCATTCACGATACTTTGTAAAGAAGGTCAAGGGCAAGTAATTGGTGTCAATTTTTACCAATGGGCTCAAACATTAGACATGAATTTTTAAAACGTTTTTGGTTAGGACTGTGAAATTGAAATTAGGAAAAAAGAAGAAGAAGAAGAACTGGAGGCCTCCAGATTGCAAGTCCATGTTCAGACCACTCGGCTTAAATGCTTACATGCTGCTTCTCCTGCCTCTCGGGTTTGCTCAAAACTTTATACCTGTACTGAGAGTAGTGACAAAACTGGGGGAGAGGCCTGGAGAGGACACGGGGTCCCCACCTTATATTAAGGCTAAATATTAATTTCGATGCGCCCCACCCTTCCTCACTTACCTTACTTAAAGATCTGAATCTGCCACTGAAGTAGCCTGCTTAGCAAGCGTTTCCAATCGAGTTATTGCGCGAAAGTTAGAGCGGAAGCCAAAAAAAGGTTGATCCTTCGTTCCGCTCCTCCTCCCCCGTCATTCATGTTTTTTTTGCTCTTGTCCCAGCTTTCTAGACGAACCTCGCGAGGAAACGCTTGCTACGCAGGCTACCATTGAAGAGTTTACCGAGCAAGCAAAGCAAGTAAGCTCATCATTACATAGCAGTTAAAGATAACTTTAATTTGGACTGGAACTAAAAAAGTGCACGTCCGTCATTTTGTACAGTACTTGAATACATTAATGACCAAAAATGGAGATATGATGGCTAACAGTCAGTAAAAGTTAGATTGGATCGTGGCTTGGAGTGAATCAAAGAGCTTGTTGGACCGCTGTTGTAAAAATGATTTTCTGTTACAATCACTGGTTCTCTCTAAGGCCGGCACCATTGGGACTAGTATTAACTGCCCTTCTAAGAAAGGTGTCCACGTGCACCTTGCCCCAGCTATGTTCAAAAGGTGGAAAGTGCTATCCATCGAATCAGCGCGAATGGATTTTAAAATACTTATCCAGTAGATACTGGATCCAACGTTTGAGCAACCAGGCCCTTATTGAGAGTCAAAGAAGAGAGCTAGAGAACGACAGAAACAAACTCTTCTGACCTAGCTTAGGTGTCCGTTTTAGGAGGTTTTCCCTCCAACAGAGGTGTTCAGTGTTAAAACAGAGCTCACTTGTTAACTCCCACCAGGAAATGCAGTGCCTAGAAACCACGTGATCGCTAAATACTTGGTCACCTCAGAAGTTGAATGTGGCTATCAGTGCACGCGAGAGTCCAAGTGCCTTTCATTTAATTATAAGGACCACTCTGCTTCGAATTCGTTGCTCCACGAATGCGAGATTAACGACTATAAACACCAAAATGATGCTAAAGGTATCGTGGGTTTGGATGGATTCAGTTACTATGAACGTGAGGTACATGATGAACACAAGCTAAAATTAAAGGCCTTTAGTCATGACTGCATGCTTTAGTTTATCAGGGGCACCCAACGTCAATTTTCGGAAAATATCTGTTCGGAAGACGATTTAAGATCTACAATTTTCGAAATATTTGTTGTAAAATTTCTTGCTTGCCTGCCTCTCCTAGGATTTTCGAACATCTAAAAAATGGTATAATTGCCCATTTTTAACGGATTTTTACCTTAAAAAGGTCACCTAGAATTTCCGGGGGCCTTTTTTCTGGCTGAAATTTTCGAAAAGTTAAGTTTTGATCCCTAGAATTTTCGGTCCCCTAGACTTTCAGCTAGGAAATCTGAACTGATGAAAAATTTTTAGAGGACAACAATATGCCTATATCTACCGTTTAAGTACTAAAATACATTTAACAATGCTATGTTCAAGTGGTTTTGAACCATATTCTCGTTGGGTTCCCCTGGTTGGCTTCGAATTCTGACTCCTTTGCTGTGAAGTAATTTCAGTCTAAAAGGGTAACCACTTTCTAGGATTTTTAGGCCCTTTTTTATATCGTATTGTAATTTTAACAGTTGTAAATTGATTCTAAAAACCCCGTTGTTACTGAGTATCAAGGAACAAAAAGGGCAGATTTGACAACTAATGACATCGCATTTTTCCAATTTAATATAAAGGAGTAAATGTTATGTGATAGTTTTCGACAGACAGGGGCAGTAATTGGTACTTACGCGTACGGTGTTGAAGGTGAAAAGGTTAATTAAAACAATTTTTGTGGGTGGTTTGAGTCAAACATCTTGACAATGTCTAAATTACAATCAATGGTTTGACTTTTTCAGCCCGACGCTCTTCCCGCGGGAGTTGTTTCGTGTCATGATAACGGTAGGTGTCTTCAGGGACATGGTTATGGTTTCGTATACTGATTTCCAGCAATTTGAAGTTTTCTAGTCTAGATAAACTATTCACTCAGCCCGTCAATAAGTCTTGCGCCCGGGGAAGGCACATCCTTAGCTTATTTATGCTGCCCGACAGGGTGTGGGTTTCTTGGTCTTGAGTTTGAAGGACTCGGTCGAATCGATACGTAGAGGTTCCCAACCCCCTCCACCCCAGCCCACCCGCGTGGGTTTTAAATAAATCAGTTAATTCTTACGAATAAGATGCAAAGGAAATTAACCTACTGTGAATAACCTAGTGACTTCAGTTTTTAATAAATCATGTTCCTGGTAGACTGTTTGTGTATTCGCCAGATTTGCTTTTGTATTCAAGTTGACAAATTCGTTACTTCTACAATTAATTAAATGCCTATTTCTTTCAGCTGAGAGTTGTAAGTCTCTTAAAGAGGCAGGAACAAATTTAGATGGATTGCATCACATTAATATACCCAGCATTGGCTCGGTCCAAGTCTTTTGTGATCAATCCACGGACGGAGGAGGATGGACGGTGATTCAGAGGCGTGCCGCGCCTTTCTCGCTCTCCTTCGAAAGGAACTGGGTCGAGTATGAAAACGGCTTTGGAAAACCTGACAGTGAGTTTTGGCTTGGAAACAAAGTTATCCACGAGCTTTCCAAAAGGCAAGTCGAGGTCCAAATTGTCCTTAAATCTCGAAGTAATTTGACGGGTCCTGCCAAATATTCCTGTTTCAAAGTTCACGGAAGAAATGATAAATATCGCCTGGAGATATCTGGTTACGTCGGTGATATCGGAGATTGTGCATCTAGTTCTTCAGGGCAAGATTTCTCTACTGTGGACTTTGATAATGATGCAACGCCTAACAGAGACTGCGCAGATGAAGATAACGCTGGCTGGTGGTACAGTGACTGTGGATGCGGAAATTTAAACCGCCAGTCACGACCCAAATGGTATTTCTGGAAAGCCGGCAACGATGACATTATTTATAGCGAAGTGAAGATCCGTTAGTGAATTTACAATCAAACTTCTCTCCATAGATCCTTTATAAAACGATTCCTGCTGCTCTTTGGACCACGGTAGACAGTCTAAACCAGAAACCGACTGTTAGTGCTTTTCACTGTGTTCGTCTTACTTAGGGTAGCCCGTTTCGGCAGGAGTGGGAAGAGGTTCCTACTTCTTAGGGGTAGATAGATGACGTGAGATGACGCCATGAAAACTAAACCCGAATTGAAGTCAAATTTACGGGATATGATTTATGCGGAAACTCTTAAACTGATTATGCTTATGCTTATAGACTTTTAAACACACATCTGTAACTCCTTACTTTGGCACAATAAACCAGAAATGTCCTTTGGTCTCAGAATTCTTTGCCCTTTACATGTAACCAGCCACGCGCCCTCTTAGTCCAAGGAGCCAGTTGCCAAGAACAGAATTTATTATATAGCTAAGATAATACGCGCGCTCTGATGGGCTGTTTTGTTGTAATGACCGGGCATTACTAGCTAGATGCCCAAAGCATATACAACCTATTTAACTTGGTAGTGGACATCCTTACGGACATCCATCTGCCTCGTACCCAGACGTCGCCTCCCGTTTCTTACCCTTCCCATGGTCCCTTGCGGTTCATCACCAGTTATTCGCGTTTCGCGCTCTATGCGAAACCACGCTAAAAACAAAGCGCTTGAGGAGGAGGCAGTTATGGATCCGCTGATCAGTGTGGCCTGACTGTATCGTGGGCTGAAGTGTACAACTCATTAGGGTGACGTGTTTTTTTAAGTTATCGGCTGACCAGTTGCTGTTTTTGATTGATCGAAGGCCCAGGTCCATTGAAAAGAGGCCTTACAATAAATAACTTATTAACCTGGTCCGTTCAGTCATTTCAGGGAAATCTCAGACCTCGGCCTTGATGTATTGACCTCGCTATTGCTAGCTCGATCAATACATTAATTTCCCTGTAATGACTTCACCCTCGGTTAATAAGAAGTATATACTGTCCTTTTCGAGATAAATTATTGTGCCATTTGTTATGAACCGTGCAACACCGTCCCTTAGGAGAGGTTCGTTAGCTTTTTATTACAAAAATGACGTGTACTTTTGTGGTCCGGACATTTTGTTTTGATCTGGTTAACTTTTGTTTTAGTACTACGTAAGGAACAATAAATTTTACAGACCACCACGTTTTACAACCGCTTTCAACACAAGGAGTCAATAGTAGCTTTGCACCTTATCTACCATGAGCATTGCATGATTGCTGACAATTATGTACATTTTATTCGCTAGCTCATTATGAGTCTTGTCAACCAGGAATAGTCAAATTGAACTGGGTCGAGTATGAAAACGGCTTTGGAAAACCTGACAGTGAGTTTTGGCTTGGAAACAAAGTTATCCACGAGCTTTCCAAAAGGCAAGTCGAGGTCCAAATTGTCCTTAAATCTCGAAGTAATTTGACGGGTCCTGCCAAATATTCCTGTTTCAAAGTTCACGGAAGAAATGATAAATATCGCCTGGAGATATCTGGTTACGTCGGTGATATCGGAGATTGTGCATCTAGTTCTTCAGGGCAAGATTTCTCTACTGTGGACTTTGATAATGATGCAACGCCTAACAGAGACTGCGCAGATGAAGATAACGCTGGCTGGTGGTACAGTGACTGTGGATGCGGAAATTTAAACCGCCAGTCACGACCCAAATGGTATTTCTGGAAAGCCGGCAACGATGACATTATTTATAGCGAAGTGAAGATCCGTTAGTGAATTTACAATCAAACTTCTCTCCATAGATCCTTTATAAAACGATTCCTGCTGCTCTTTGGACCACGGTAGACAGTCTAAACCAGAAACCGACTGTTAGTGCTTTTCACTGTGTTCGTCTTACTTAGGGTAGCCCGTTTCGGCAGGAGTGGGAAGAGGTTCCTACTTCTTAGGGGTAGATAGATGACGTGAGATGACGCCATGAAAACTAAACCCGAATTGAAGTCAAATTTACGGGATATGATTTATGCGGAAACTCTTAAACTGATTATGCTTATGCTTATAGACTTTTAAACACACATCTGTAACTCCTTACTTTGGCACAATAAACCAGAAATGTCCTTTGGTCTCAGAATTCTTTGCCCTTTACATGTAACCAGCCACGCGCCCTCTTAGTCCAAGGAGCCAGTTGCCAAGAACAGAATTTATTATATAGCTAAGATAATACGCGCGCTCTGATGGGCTGTTTTGTTGTAATGACCGGGCATTACTAGCTAGATGCCCAAAGCATATACAACCTATTTAACTTGGTAGTGGACATCCTTACGGACATCCATCTGCCTCGTACCCAGACGTCGCCTCCCGTTTCTTACCCTTCCCATGGTCCCTTGCGGTTCATCACCAGTTATTCGCGTTTCGCGCTCTATGCGAAACCACGCTAAAAACAAAGCGCTTGAGGAGGAGGCAGTTATGGATCCGCTGATCAGTGTGGCCTGACTGTATCGTGGGCTGAAGTGTACAACTCATTAGGGTGACGTGTTTTTTTAAGTTATCGGCTGACCAGTTGCTGTTTTTGATTGATCGAAGGCCCAGGTCCATTGAAAAGAGGCCTTACAATAAATAACTTATTAACCTGGTCCGTTCAGTCATTTCAGGGAAATCTCAGACCTCGGCCTTGATGTATTGACCTCGCTATTGCTAGCTCGATCAATACATTAATTTCCCTGTAATGACTTCACCCTCGGTTAATAAGAAGTATATACTGTCCTTTTCGAGATAAATTATTGTGCCATTTGTTATGAACCGTGCAACACCGTCCCTTAGGAGAGGTTCGTTAGCTTTTTATTACAAAAATGACGTGTACTTTTGTGGTCCGGACATTTTGTTTTGATCTGGTTAACTTTTGTTTTAGTACTACGTAAGGAACAATAAATTTTACAGACCACCACGTTTTACAACCGCTTTCAACACAAGGAGTCAATAGTAGCTTTGCACCTTATCTACCATGAGCATTGCATGATTGCTGACAATTATGTACATTTTATTCGCTAGCTCATTATGAGTCTTGTCAACCAGGAATAGTCAAATTGACTTATTTTCACAACACTGGTAGTAATGCATAAATCTCAATGATAACTCAATTTAATCTGCCTGTTCCCGCCAGTGGAGGATAAAGGGTCAAAATCTGGAGAGGAGTGTGTTCCCCTCGACCCTGCATTTCCTAGTTATTAACTCAAATCCCCATTCCCCAGATAACCGTTTCATTGTTTTGAAGCACCAATATGGCAGCCGTGACGTCATGTTAAACTACACTCTATATTCAATATCATAAATTTTGCAGGAAAAATAGTAAAAATATTAAAGTTCCATAAAAATCAATTAAAAAGGATATTTTCTCAGAGTATCCCTTGAAAACCTAGAATAGACAATGCAGACAGGTGAAAGCTCTGCCAGCAAAATGGGGACAAGCGAAACCATTATTCAAGAGGGGCTGGATCGGCCTGTCGTTAGTGTTGCATCGCTCATCATCATTTTCTTTTGATTAATATAATATATATAAAAGTCTCCGTAAAATATTTCCTCATTCAATCATTACTTTACGTCTGTGGATGCAATCCTATGGTGTAACCTCTCAAATGAAACCTGTCGAGCAATACTTTCACATGGTACTATTTATTACATTCATAAACAGGTTTTATTTTTTGAGTCTGTGGATACAATTTTATTCCGGTGTGGGTTAGGGTTTGGCCAATCAACTGAAACCTTTTCAGCTTTACTTACACTTGGTAATACTAAAAACAAAATTTCGGGATTTTTTCCATTGAATCTGCAAAGCTTTTTGAGAAAAATAACCCCTTCAAACCAAAGAGAATTAGAACACTCTCATGGTAATATATCTGTTCCATTCTAACTAGTGTAGGAGAAAAGAATAGATACGTGAGATCTTTCTTAGATTGAAGTTTTAGACCAAGGCCAAACTTCAAACTTTTCATGAGACGAACCAAATTGCCATTCGATAAGTTAGACTGTTAGATCAAACGTCGAACTTAATATGTGGCGTGAAAAAGTCTTCAGTCGTACAGTTGAAACCCGCTTTGCGGAAGCACGTTTATAACGAACAGTCTTCGTTGTCCCAACGAACAATTCTATATAATTTTTTGGTAAATAAACCGCGGAATAGTTACACAGTCTACCTTCTGAAGCGGACGGATAAAGCGTGTTTCAATTTGACGATCCAAACTCATTTACACGAACTTAACTGAGCCAGACGTCGAGCTTTTCATGAACTTAACTCACTAACTTTGGTTCGTCTCATGAAAAGTTCGACGTTTGGCCCTAGTTTTAGATGTCTGTGGTTTTGGATGGTTCAAGACACCACGCAGCCAGAAGAATTGTTGGCTGGTTTCACAGGACTTGAATCTTCAGGTTCTGGGACGGGTTTGACATCTCCTGCTGCACCTTGGGATTTCTGTACAAAAATCAATACGTTGCATTTATGTTCCAGTCAATACGCCACTTTCACATTTTCCATAATGCACCTTATCTGCTCCCCCCCCCCCCCCCAATTTTCACACAACCTTTTTTTTTTTTTTCCCTTTTTTTTTTCAGTTGCCACACCAAAATTAAAAAAAAAACTAAGTGAAATATTTTTTTGTGGGGTGGGGGGAGGAAAAAAAGAGTGATTGTGGGAAATGGAACAGGGGCGGACCAAAAATTGTTTTGGGGGTTTTAAAGGGTGTGTTATTTCTGGGGTTGGGGGGGGGTTTTTCTCTCTCCTCCCCCTCTGTGTTTTTTTTCAAAAAAAAAAAATTTGTTTTTTTTTTTCCCCAAAAACCCCCCCTTTTCCCTTTTTCACTAAGGCCCCCTTTTCGCCCCCCCCCCCCCCCCCAAATGTTCCATAACCTTTGTTTTTCATTTCTCTTGGTTATTACGGATGTCCCAAGACAAATTGAAAACAATGCTGATGCAAAGTCTTTTTTCGGGGGGGAGAGGCAAATAAGGTGCATTGTGGGAAATGTGGAAGTGGCGTATCCAAAACCACCTCTCCCCCCCGGTAAACGGGTAAACGCCCGGGCATTTGACTTTTTTGAAAATTTTCACCCAAGTTCCCCGGTATGTTGGCATTTTAGATGGTCAAATGCCCCAACGGCTAGCGCTTCAAAAAGCGTCATATCCCTCACCCACCATGAGCGACTATTCAAAAATTTTCTCAGTCGTTAAACCGTTCACTCAAATATACGTAAATACCCAACTAAACAAAACAGAAATATCTTAAGAAGTCTTAGAAAGCTGTTTTATACGGAGTTTTCTCGTTCGAATAAAATTGTTCATTCCAGCAAATCCACATTTAACGGGCTTTTTCAAAGGCTCTCAGATGCTCCAACAAACCAGTGATTATACATGTAGCAGCAATAACCCGTGAACACGGGGTACATGCTAAAAGTGGAATGAGTTACGAAATCCTTTTGTTTGCGACCCTGACCAGCGTTTTGACTGGAAAGTCAAATGCCCGACTGGTCGTGCCTCATTTAGGGTCAAACTCCCCACTGTACGGAGCAAACCTCCAGTCAAATACCCGGGGTATGCCCGGGGGTTGCCTGGTTTTGGAATTGACTGGTAAACCAGCTAAAATCAGCCACAAACTTAGTTGAGACGCTTTTTTCCTTTTAGAACGACATTCCTCCCTTCCTACTCTCCCCAAACAACGTGGTGCCTTTCCTCAAGCTACTTGTTCTAAAATCATGGACTTAAGTTTTGGGACAAATTTACATTCGTGGCGCGTATTAAAACAACACAAACTCAACCCATCCCCGACCCGATATACAACGGTGAGCAGCGTGTCCACAATTCTTCCCGAGTTTTAACATTGTATAGGGTGGAGTCGGGAGGGAAAATCCAAGGCATTTGTGAAAAGATAGCGTTGCTTTTTGAAGAAAGGGAAACCAATTGTAGCTCTAATAGCGATAATGAATAAGGTACAGTTAATAGTAATATAACTTTATTAAATGGCCCTTATGCCTGATAACGTCAGATGAGCCTGTTTCACCACCAAGCCTCCGTCGTTTGTAAGCAAAATTCTGCGCATTTGCACTCTTTGTGCGTGGGTATTCTTTTCAACTCTATTGCCTTGTCGCAACTTCACAATTTCCAATCCAGTCGTCTAATGTAAACATGCATAAGGGCTATTCATTGGTATGGCAATAAAAGACCCGGTCAGCCTCCGTAGCATGGCGGTTTTGTCGAACCGGGAGCCAAGTTGCTCCCGCCCCAATCTCCTCGCGGTTTCTCTGCGCTCGCCCGCCTTTATTACTTAGCGTGCCCAACCAAAACCGCCATGCTACGTAGGCTAAGACCCGCGCGGATACTCGACAAAGTTTTATACGGGAGAGGCTCCGTGCGAGGTCCAACCCCTTACCCTATTATATACCATTTTTGATAGAAAAGGTATCCCTTTTATATCTTCTATCCACAAATAGTTTAGAACTTTGCATCCCTTTTACTGCTGTAAATGCACTGTCTTTTAAATTTGAATACATCACAAAACCAGAATGTTTCTCGATATTTTCACACACATAAAATACATCTGTTAGCCCTTTTGGTCCTTTTTACAGACCGAAATAACAGATTTCCATTCCATTTCATATACCTCAAGAATTGAAGTCCCTACCCTTTCATATACCTGACGCATGAAAAAAGTACCCCTTTGAAGCAGAACCACCCCGTATCGGCCATTAAAGAGGGTACCTCCCCCCCCCCCTCATCACCCCGGGATAAAAGACCTACCGGTTGTGGAGGATGAGCCTTGGAAACATCAAATCCAGCATAAGTATCGCCTCCCCACATGGCATGGGGTGCTGGCAGTGTAAACTCTTGAGGGCTCGCTAATCCATGCGTGGCTTTCAGCTCCAGCTCTGGAGCCTCTTCTGGGATCTTATGGAAATAACTAAAGAAAAAGGTAAACGTTAGACTCCTGTCAAAGTCTCTCGTGCGATAGCAGAAACGCCATTCCCTTCTACTTTATTAATCTTCAGGTTAACTAGGCAACGGTCCAGGTTCTGCCCCAAGGCGAGTCTTTTCCTTTTTCCTGTGCGCAAAGCCTTCTCTAATTCTCGAGTCTTCCGTGCTAACTAGAAAGGAAATAGCAACTACCTAATAAAATTCTTACCAGTGTAATTTATAAGTGCAGGTATTGTTTTAGGGTCCGAAAACAATAGCTACAGCTGTACACTAATAAAAAATTACACTTGTAAAAGTTTTATTAAATTGACCTCTGGCCTATTGGCGGGTCAATGTACAAGAAAATGACTTACATGAAGCCATTCTCGTGGGTAGCTTTCTCTAGCTTCTTCCTAATGATGGGGCCCAGTTTTAAAAAGAACGGATGTTCCCAGGGCCTTGCAGTGGTGCCAGGGCCCTTGGTACTAGAGTACTCGCGGGATATTGCTTCCGCCTTCTTGTACACTGAGGACAGAAAAGTAAGAGAAAAGGTTTGGTGAACAAAACAGTAGAAATCATAGTTTTCAAAACTCCAACATTTGCTCCATAGACGAGGTACAAAGTAAGCCCATCACTGCCAAAGTGGTCAAATTTAACATTTAACTACAATAAAATTTCCAAAGTTCATTAAATAGAAGTTCCTGAAAAAATGATAAAACCGTGTGAAAGTACTGCCAAAGAGATTTCATTTGAATGGTCACATCAAAGGATTTCGTCCACAGCCTTAAAAGTTAGAACTACCTTACAAGACTCCTCATGTACTTTAGCAGTGAGAGGTTTAAGGCTCATCATATTTTTCTAACGTAACTGGCAAGTCTCTTAATTAAGTTGTTCCAGATCGAATCACTTATGAACGTCTGGAACGGGTGAACGGCTGCTTCTCTTTAAATTTCCTTCTTTTTACTAACTGAACATTATAACAACGACAAGAAAAAAAACATCAAGAATTACTTTTATCACTCTCCCGCAAAGCACGGATTGCTTTTCCACACTGATCCTCTTCCAGCAGAGTGTCTCCAGAAAAACAGTAGGCCTGCAATGAACATGAACAAACACCAGACCTCTGGTATTTAAAGAACCTCCACAACTCAGCTACGAACATCTGCATATAAAACACCACTTTCAAGCAAGAACTTAAAGATTAACGTTGAATAGAGGTCTCCATAATTATCATCCCAGTCAGCCGGGCTGACCACCTAGAAGGCCTGCCTTCTTGAGACGAACACATTAAATTTTATTATTAACAGAGAAATAATGGCGAAGCGAAATCTTGGAAGAGGAGGAGGACCTTGATACATTTGGGCCTTAAACTCAACGCAGCCACCCCTGATTAGTATTTGTAAACCAAAAATAGTATGAAGAATATGTGCGAGTGTAAAAACTTCAAACAAATATCTTCTCAAGCAAACACATAAATTTTGATGAGGATTGAGTATTTCTGCACCTTCGAGTCGATGACAGAAGAGATTTTCCTGGCTATGAAACTTTAAGGGTCTTTCTCTAAAATTTCGAATGGTGTGTTCTTCCTCAAACAATTTCTTTCAAAACCAAAAATTTGACGGTATACCGTTTCCGTTTAGTAACAAGGGCTTAACGAATTGAACTTACGTAAGACAGATAGAAGGCAGCTTTGAGATCCAAATATTTCTTCCATTTCCCTGCTTTGAGCGGATCTACAGACTTCAATTCGTCACCTGCAAAAATATAAATTCACATGGTGTCAGTTTAGAGGTTCTTTAAATGATGTGTATTGTATATTGCAACCAAGACACTTCTAACCCCGTTGTTCACAAGCTTGTGGATGATGCCACCCATCCGATAAATCTTTTTCAAGTGGATTAATTAATTAAGTAGTGGGAAAAACCCATTGCATTGTCCACTGGAGAGCACTATCTACTTTGTGAGCAGTGATTGGCTAAAAGAAAATCTCCCTCAAATTCCCCACCAAAACTAAACTGAGTTGCAACTTGCGCACACATTTATTTGCGTTTGATGCAGAATATATGCAATTGCTTAGTATTCCAGTGCAAGTTCAAGAAAGGCATCCAAAATTTATTCATAACAAAATGTTTCTGTTGTCATCTGACAGTGCTAAGGATATACAACTGTACATCCCAGATTAATTGGCTTCATAAATTAGGTGCATCGCCAGCCTCAGGTTTGTCAGAGACTGTTTACATTGAGGTGGGGGAGCCCAGGTATGTATTGTAACCTGCTTGTGTGGGGTAGCCCACCTGTGCATATAATCTCATTTTAATTTGATAGTGCTTACATGATAGGTGGGGTGACCATGTGGACAAAGGGGTGGCCCCACCTAAGCGGGTTACCTACATAAAACCTACCTTGTGTTTCCCACTTTCATACATTTATAATTTATGTAAACAGGCTCTTTGTCTAATGAGTACTACATTGTTCCAAGATAGTACCGTCGTAAAATAAAACCTTTTATCTTAAGCTAGAGCAGCTAATTTGCCTTTCTGCAGTTTAAACAAAGATTCACATTCATGAATTTGACTCTTTATCCCTCCTCTGTTATCAGGTGTGGTTTCACTTTTAAATTGGACAAGAAGGATGAAAAAGACGGCGCTATCGGCTAAATCAGTACCTATTTATGTAATGATCAGATCTCAACTTGCTCAAGGTCCTCATCCCAGTCATGAAGCATTACCATCGAACACATGAACTAGTTGAAATATTGTTACTGGTAATGATCAGCTTACCTGCATCAGTAAATAATTTTGATGTCTCGTAGGTGAGAGCTGAGATGAGTGATGCTTTATGTTTAAGTTCCACTGCTCGAGCCACAGTAACTAAAAAGAGGGAGAAATGGATGAGGTAGTTTAGTGTTAAGAGATACTCTTTGAGATATACTCTTTTTATAAGAAGACCTGTTTATGAAAAAAAAAAAAAAACAGGCCTTGCAGAAAGAAACTCTTCTGTTTATATTGTACTGTACTGGTACTGGCCCCAGTAGTTCAAATGTTGGATAGTGCTATCCATCAGATAAATCACTTTCCAGTAGATACATATGTAACTACTATCAGGGAAACCGATTGCATTATCTACTGGTTAGAGATTTATCCCCTGAATAACATCATTCCAGCTTTTGAAGTACTGGGGCCTGGTAGGAGAGTTCAACCTTTACCACTGCATTAGAAAAACAACTGGATACAGCTGCTACACAAGGCTCCTAGCAGTTGCTCTGAATGTAAGTTAGTAGAATGACCACATAATTATTATTTGACAAAGAGGCACTGGGTCTAGGAGGACCTGACTCCGAATTCGGCAAGTCTCCAAATATGCCAGCTGCAGTGAGTTTAGTGCCTACTGTTGTGGAAGCAAGACTGAGATTGTTTCCCAACAACTACTTTCGGGACCAAAACATGGCAGATGGTCAAGGGGACACCCAGCAACAACATTCATTGACCAAATAGAGAGTGATACTGCGGTCTTACAAAGTAGGAAGTTTCGTCTGTCATGGCTTACCGAAGGGAATGGGACTGACACATCAAATTGGTGTGGGTGCAGTGGAGTAGTCTTTGTGCATTCTCTCTTGTCAGTTGGAAAAAATAAAGGCAAGCTACTGTCATTCTTGCTAGATCTTCTGTACGAGGAGAAACTCTTAGGGCAGCTATTTATACGATTCCTAAGCGGCTTCTGTCTCAGAACTCCTTAGGGGTGGGGGGGGTACTCAATACTGCTAACTGGTCATTTCAATCCAAGGTTGTTTCAATACAAGTCATTTCAATACGAACTCAAGCAGTATAAACATTGCACAAAAAGTCTGATTGCCTCAAGTATAGTTTGCGTGTGAATAAGAAAAACATTTTGGGTGAGTTATTTTTCTTTCTGGTTAAGCCAAGTACATGAAACTACAACTCAACTAAATAAACTTGCATTGAAATGACTTGAATTGAAAGGAATTTGTATCAAAACGACTGATAACTTCAATACTAAAGCTAGCCTGGTACCAGGTTCCATAGTAGGTAAAAAGGGCTAAAAAATAATTGACGAGGGCAAAAAAAATAAGAGAGTGAAGCAAGCCAAGCAGTAGTCTAAGGAGAGGAAAAGGTGGTGCCTTCTCTCTTTCCCCAGTCCACCACTCGAAGCTCAGGTTTTTCCTGTTTCACCCCGTTTTTTGCTAGTTCATCCTACTACAGAGCCTGCTCCCAGGCTACAATGTACCACTAAGCAAGACTCCAGCACTAACCTTCCTGGGCTTCTGCAACACACTGCTTCTGATAAGCAGCCAGCACTCTTTGATCAGTGTCTGCACCCTTCTCCGCTGATAACTCACCAAGGCGTGGCATCAGACTTTCCTTTAAAAATAATTATGTAAATAAATTTACTTACCATGGAAAAAATTTCCATGGAAAGAATTAGGTATGTGTATGGAAAATACAATCACATTAGATTACTGTATCACTAAAATAATTTAAGACATAAGTTTAGGGTAAACCACTTTCACACCACAACTGCAACAACTAATACCTTTACAAATTTAAATATGCCTGCTGCCGTTCTAAGGGTTGTGTGGACTTCCTTTGCTTCATCCATAGAAACCCTGTGGAGACAACAGCAACATTGAAGGTGCCAACACATTTCACTCAGCAATTTAGGAGTTGTAGCTGTTTATTTTTTCAAACTGAAAACAAAATTTACATGACACTTGTACATGTAAATTAAACTGAAAAGTATCATTGAACAACCCCTGATTGCAAAAAACGTATATAAAAAGACAGAGTAAGGCTTAATATTAAAATGCAGAAAAACATCTCACAAAATTCCTGCTTTCATTTTTTCAATAGGCCATTTGCACAAAAGTGTATTGCTTTCTCGTGCAAATTAGGACTTTTAATAATAACTATTATTATTATTAACCCTCAGCAGTATTACTATTTATAGCACTCATGCTGGTGGGGCCGAGCAAATGGCTGATTTATGGAACAATTAATTCAAATCAAACATAACAGGGTTAAGAATTCAAACTGGCCGGAGGCAAATCAGCTGGTTATTTACAAGTGTGGTCAAGGATTTGAACTCGGGAAAACCACGAACAAATCCAGTTAGCAGTCAGGGCGGGACTTGAACTCAAGGTCTCCGAATTGCAAGTCCACAGGCACTCTAACTGCTCGGCCGGCCACGCTCTGTCCTTTTGCTATTTAAACCTCTCTTGGATTACCAAATTTAAAGATGAAAGAATAAATGAAATGAATTCTGGTCTTAGTAGTAAAAAGATGTCAAAATGTTGTGCAAATGGCCCATTCAAATTGAATTATGCTACATTAATATTACTTACTCTCCTTTAGCTGCCAGTTTAGCTGCATACTTTGCGTACCAAATGGCAACATCAATACACATGGATGTTAGTTCAAAAACACTGTCAGCCTCACACCTATAGAAGATAAAATATTAAAGCAACACTGTGTCACATCGGAATAATCCCATTGTTATCAATTCCGTTGTTATTGAAATTAACAGTTCGACTCAAAGTAAATTTTAAAAGTGTGACTCATGATCAGCACTTCATTATTTAAGTTTACAGGTGTACATGAAGTAACCATGCAATGCTACAGAGAACTTCAACAAGCCCCTTCAACAAAATGCAAATTTAAGGTTATATTAATCAATGCCTTTCAAAGCAGATAGTTGAGCCAAATATTATCATTACATCAAAATGCTAGATTAATTTCAAATAAAAATTATACCCTGCAAATCACTGACTCAAACAGCACAGCTACCGTAAATCCTGAGGGGCTTGTAAGCTTATTTCAAACACAGTTATCCCCCCAAATCTATATTAAAATGACACTCATCAGGGAGAAAACGAGATTTTAGACTTTCGCTAGCTCACCCCATACAGTTATAAACTCGTCGTTAATCGACGTTCATCACTCAACACGGCTGTGGTCATAGAGTGAAAAGAGGGACTTGTAGGTTTCATACAGCATTACTGGAGCTCGGGACTGTGGTGACGGCCAATGTCTGGTCAAGATGGTACTTATCTGTCATCAAAAGCTCATCAACATCACTTGGGGGCCCAACTCATGCTTAAATCAACATCTCGGCCTGGCATCAAGGCACCGAAGACATTTGCTACCATATTAAGGCAAAAGTAAGTTGATAGGGGCCACAAATTAAGTATGGTGAGAGCAAAATCCTCTGTATGCCGGGAGGAAAACCAGAGATAAAAAATATCCTAGTCTTAAACCTGGCCAGTGCCGTGTTAGCAATGGACTTCAGTGATTGCTCAGTAATGATAATATTTTCCATTAAATTTATTTTGAACATCTGAAATCAACTGAAGGCAAATAGATAGTATCAATTTTGACTTATCTGACTATCTAACTAAATCTATTGTTTTGGAAACTTACGTTGGTGTATTACCACAAATAGAGTTGGTCCATTTAAACATGACTAACTTCCGGAGCTTGCTGTCACCAGACCCTGCAACAGGATCATTAACAAGGCCATGGAAAAAGGACAAGTATATCTCTGTTGCCTGTTGAATTGACTTGGCATCATTTGAAGGATCTGTTAGATAATTTAGTAGCTTAGATCTTGCCAGCTTCAATTCTCTGTAAAGGTGAAAATGATAAATGTCACTGGATGGATATTAAACCTTATTAAGTCTTCATAATATATGTGGTAAAAATTAATTTAATTATTATATAATAACCTTTTATCTAACCAGATTGGCAGTTTTTAGCACAACGCCTAGTGTGGCAGAGCAAAATAAAAATGCATGACAGGAACAAATAAACGTAACAAGGAAAAGAATCCCATCATTAACGGCAGAAACGATAGCCAGCTAATACTAGTAATTAGGATCCTTCAGGGCATCTGATCTATGAGATGGTGTGATTTTACACAAATTCAACCTCAAATCAGATTCACCTGCATAACTAGAAAGAAAAATGCACACCATCGGTTGCATCTAAGTGTGTACACATGATGAAAAAACATGTTCTAATTAGGTGCAAACACGACATGTTTTGCTGCCAAGCATTTGAAGTTTGGGGTGGTTTAAATTTAGAATAATGTTCACATAAAAAGTAGGCTGCTGTTTGTTGACTTGATTTGTTTAAGCTGAACAAAATATTCATCACAAGAGTTTTTAAGAAGAGTTTCTGGAGTTGTCAACTCTAAAAAGTAGTTCTTTAAAGCAAGTGTTTAAAGCTAGTGTGCTGATTTTGAGCGAGAAATATCCCTGATAGTTGAGATAAATAAATGAGCAGAACACATTGATCCTATTAGAACATGTTTTTTTGCCTCGTGTCCACGCTTAGATGCAACTGATGGTAATTAATGTTGACAAAATACAATGACAGAGGTTACAGAAAGACACCCAGTCACCTGTGGTACTATTTAATTCATGATTGCATCATCCAATCAAAGTGTGTAATCGTACAAACCCCACTCAAGTGAAGGAATGGAGCATAACACAATAAGAACTTTGGTTATTCAGTGAAATACAAATAAGTGGACGGGCATTCTAAAGTTTAGCCCAGATCTGTCACTTTGACAGATAACATTTGAAACAAACCAGATTTTAAAATGCTGATCTTCTACTACCTACTAAACAAATGGACGGCTGGGAGAGTTAGATTCATTTAAAGGGTAGCTTTATGAAGCTTTTTTTATAATGCAATATTAAATCTATAAAATGCCCCATGAAAATAAGTGTTAAACTTATAATATATTCATCCTTTCAGATCCTTTTCAACTGCTTTTTTTTAATACTAGCGAGAGTTAACATGTCCTCAAATACTTGTCATATGACAAACTTTTAAAATTTTCTAGACAAGAGCGCTTGTGAATCTATTTTTGTTAAATGCATCCCAAGAGAATTAAATAAGTAACCTTATATCCCAGTCAATAGTAAGCCTATATAAGTCATAACAAAAAAAATAACTTAAGCTCAACTCACGATAACATCTTGGAAGAGGAAGAATTGGCCGCTACATGACGAATTGACTCGAATGTCACAGGAGCAGAAGCTTTAATCGGATTTCTGTGAAACCAGTGCGCCATTGTGATGCTGATGATGTGCGGATGTTACTATTTTTATCTGCACATGTAATTTTTCTTTTTCTGCGTAATCTTCCGTGCGTCCTATTTGACAACAATGATTTTTTCTATGTTTTCCGCTGACAAACTTTTCCGACAGATTTCGGTATCGTGGCAAATCGTCGGAAAAATTTCCATTGTTTTCATTGGTCTTCATTAGTTTTACTATCTTCGTGGATTGTCGTGTATTTTCGCATTGCCTCGGGTGGGGCGCCTGTTTGTTGCTTGGTCAGCGGAGTAGCGAATCGCGCAGATTCATGTGAGCTTACATGATATAACGGACTATGCCTCCATGTTATGTCCCCAATATGAGGGACATGTTATGGAGTCTTACATGAGATACTGACCGACATTCGCGCGGTTTTTGAAGAGAAAGTGGATTGTTGATGGTTTGTTCACATTCAAATCTTCTGTCTCTTTTTAACACAACATCAAATGGCACTTGCCAACAATGAAGCAAGGATTTTGGATTCTTTGAGGCCGATTTTCCCGCAGCTAAATGATACCGTTATCTTAAACTGCGTCAGGAATGTACGAGAAACGGTAGGAAGTGATCCGCACTCAATCATACCAGGTTGTATCGATGTCCTCTTAGCTCAACAGTCTTTTCCAGAAGTTCCTGTTCCTCAGAAGAGACCAGCTGCTGTGACCATTTCTCCCCGCAATAACGATCCTGCAGGAAGTTCTCGGATTCAAAACAACGATGACGATGTTATTTTCGTTGCGAGCACTTCCCGCTCGCCCAAGACCAAAGCTACAAGCCATCATGTTATCAGTTTGATCGATGAGAATGAAGTGACAATTATCTCGAACTTCAAGTCGCCTGCTTCGAGTAATAACACGTTGGCATCTCCTCAGTCTCTAAATACAAGTAGAACAACAGAAACGAGAACAATTTCTGTAACTGAGAGTACATTTTCATCTACCACGGCGACAACGGGCTTGAAAGGAGAACGCGATGTTCAGTCTAAAGTTTGTCATGTTGAACAGGCCCTCGATCCAGCGGAAGAGGCGTTGAAAAACCTGCGGTCTTTATTTCCCGATGTAGAAGACGCCTATCTTCAGACGTTGTTAAAGCAGTGGTCACATATCCCACTATATGAGGCTGTAAACAATGCTTGTAATGAATTGTTAGAGAAGAAAGATTATCCGAGAAAATCTCCATCCCCTATTTCAGTTACAAACCCAGCGGATGACCAGAAAGATAAAGACTACTTTCAGGACTTCTCTACCAGGGTATCAGACAAATTTCGACATCAATGTTTTATCCTTTTGCAAAATGATTTCAGAATGATTCCAGTTAAATACATTAGGTTGGCTATGTCAAAGTTCAAAGGTCATTATGCTCCCTCCAAAAGGTACTTGCAAGAACAGCTAAGGATCTCTAACACTTCTAATGAAACCAGCACATCAGCTACAACTTCTGCAGTACAGGGAACAACTTCATCTTCATTGAAAACAGAGCAGACCAGCTCAACATCCAGCTGTAACTTTTTCGTTCCTCCTAAAATAGTTTTGTTAAGATGTGGACGTCCTCTAGTCTCAGGTTTTTCAAGAAGTGTAAGTGATAAAGAATTGCGAAGAGAGATTGATTTTATAAGAAAGTATGAGCTATCCAGAAGTGAGGAGATGGATCGAATGCTTGCTGCCAGCTTAAATGATGAACAGTATGAGGAGGAAGGGCAGAAAATTGAATGTGGCTGTTGCTATAGTGATGCAGCTTTTGAAGACATGGTCCAGTGCTTGGAAGGTCACTTATTTTGTGCAAGCTGTCTTATGAACTATGCCAAAGAAGCGGCGTTTGGTCAAGGTAAAGCAACACTCACATGCCTGACTGACGGCTGTGATGGTACTTTTCCATTGAGCCAGCTGAAAAAAGCGTTACCAACCAACATCCTGGAGAAATACGAAGATCGAGTGAAAGAGGAGTCTCTGTTATTAGCCCAGATGGATGATTTTGTACGGTGTCCTTCATGTGATTTTGCGGCAATTCTGCCGCATGAAGTCAAAGTGTTCAAATGCCAGAATCCTTCTTGTGCCAAAGAAATTTGCCGCTATTGTAAGGAGGATTGGTCTGAGCACTTTGGTTTAAGATGCAATGAGGTTGAGAAATCGGCACAAAAAGATGTCCGGCTCTCTTATGAAGAAAAAATGACAATGGCAAAGATACGGAAATGCCCCAAGTGTGGCTGTGAGTTTACCAAGTCGGATGGTTGCAACAAAATGACCTGCCGCTGTGGAATGAAAATGTGTTATGTCTGTCGTAAGCCAAACATTGGATACAATCACTTTTGTCAGCACCCAAGGGATCCTGGCAAACCTTGTGCTAAATGCAAAAGCTGCTCCCTTTGGAGTGATCCCAGCGAAGATGATGACCGTGCAGTAAAGGAGATAGAGAAGGAGGCTCTTGAGGCAAAGAGAAAGTTTGAAGCAGAAAATGTACAATCAGAGGATAACCCTGCTAAAAAATCAAAGACAAACTGAATGCTTTGCTTATGTAGACTGAACTTGGCTTGGTAATAGGTGAGAGTGAAGATCAAATTCATGGATATTTACATTGTCAGCATGTACATTGTATGGTACAATGTACATGAGATCAAACAAATAATTTTATATAGCGTGCAAAAACAGTCATCTGTCCTCACTCCTTGCCACTAGTTGCGTTTCGCCAGGAAGGATGTCTGTGCTTCAGCGGCAAATTCCATACTGTTGAGGTAAATCAATGTTTATATAATAAATTGATTAGTCATGGCAAACCCTAGGATTTCATGGTAATGATCGTTTCCGGTACTGTGTCGTTACTGTGATCTTAAAATAACGGAACTGAAAAATAGTTTCCCATTGACTGATCCTGATATATTCAGACTGAGGGATAAAAATACACAAATGTAGTATTTTTCCACTTGGATTTTTGACTATTACAGCAATCTTTATGACTCAGCTTGTGTATAAACAAATTTTTCATGTTGAATCACTCCATTGGTGCATTGCACATTACTGATGACTCACACATGACACTAGTGCACACAAAATTAACACTTAAATTGACCTTCTTCTAACATTTTAATAGACATTGAAGTTTTTTGTAAATAATAGTACACACTGATGTTCCTTAATTTTATGGTATGTTTAACAACATGTTTCCAGAAAAGTGTTTCTGTACATTCAAAGAAATAAAAGAGGGTTCCCATGAATTTTCTCTGAAGCAAAAAATTGTTACCGATAGTTACATGTACCCGTGATCTCTGGGCACGGAACCGAAAAATTGTTATCCTTGGGATTTGAAATCCTAGGGCTTGTCATGGTATTCCAAATGTTAATATGTTCGGTTTTATGCTTCTCCTGGTTGATTATGGTAATATTTTGTGTTCTCCAGTGAACGAGCTTCAGCAAAACTATATAATGTATTCCACAAAAATCGACTGTTTGGTTGAAGATTCATCAGGTTTACATTTTACTTATGTGACTGTTTGTCCGTCATTCGTAAGCAATAGCTTAAACAAGATAACTACTACATGTATGTTACTGGACCAATCAGAACTCCTGACCAGATTCTGGACAGATCATAAATCACCAGAATAAAATTTCTGTCACTGAGGTGCAGACTTCTCTCCTGGTGTTAGTCCCTAGGAACGAAGAGAGATGGCTGTTTTTGCAGGCTAACAACTATAGAGCTTGTAGTGGACTGAGACATGAGGAAAACAGGACTTTCAGTTTGGTATATGCAATTAGCACTGTAGGCAGGGAGTGGAACTGTTAGCAAGTTCCTTTGGTTCTATTTTCCTTTTCTTTTCTAGTAGCCTGGGATTATGCTCTTAATATCATAGGTGACGAAATACTCCTTAATTTTGGCGCGAAATTTCAGCGATAATTTGTAATTTCACTTGTGAAATTACAAAATTGCCATGGCAACCTTCCTTATATCTCAGTGTCAAGATGGCGACAAAGTTTTAAAATGCCGTGAATGAAGATGTCAGGGCACAAAAAGACGCTTTAGAAAACCTGAACACACAAGAGAACATCAAGAAGGACTCTAACAGGTATTTTGCTGAAAAATTCTGAACTTTACAAGCCAAATTTAAGGTCTAAACATTTGAGAGAGTGGAGTTCTCAATCGATATGATTCAGGATAAACATGTCAAAAATCAAA